CCAAATCAGTGACATAAGTGGGAGAGTCTCTGCAGAGTCTCAGCAATTTCTTTGAGTCCTTCTTCATGTCGTCCTAGTGCTTGTCCCTGGGATACAACAGCTTTGACGATGGATTCAGGGTCTGCGGGGTCCATAATTGGCCAGATTGTTCTGTTATGGGAATGCAAAGGACCCCAAAGCAGAGAAACAGAAAAATATTTATTGAAAAAACTCTTGGCTTGGTGTGGCTTGGCTGGGCTTGGCTTGGCTTGGCTTGGCTGGGAGCAGTCCACTGGAGAAGGCAGGCAATCTGGCAAAATACAAAAACTCAAATAAGTCGAAAGAAGCAAAGATTCACAAGTAAGTTTGTGAGGCTCTCTGGTCTGTACCGCTGAATAGACGGAAACAATCTGGCAGCGTGTGCTGGGCAGCATGGATTGAAGTAAGGAGTGATGATTGGAATAAGTTTCAGGTGTGCCTGCCCAGGACCCGCTCCCACCATGCACCAAGCCTGCAGACACCAGAGGGAGACAAAAACACAACAAAACAAGCCTCAAGGGGCAAACATAACATCTACCCTGTAATTACTCTTTTTCTCAAGGGGCCTCTACCCCGGTAATTACTCAAAAAAGGGCCTCTACCCTGTAATTACTCTTTCTCTGCCCTGACTACTTCAAAGGACAGGGACCCCGATACGTCAAGGGGTTCTTTTTTTCCTATAGGGACTGGTTACCCACACAGCTAACCTGTTTTCTACAACATAAGACATGACAAAGACGTGACAAAGAAAATTTTATTTAGAGAGAGTTGGACAGACCTCCGGGACAGCTCAAAATTTAGCTAGTATCCAATTATGCAGACTTTACATATTAAAAAAGGTGTCTGCTTACCTTATTTTCTTTGTCCGGACTGTTTGAGAGGTCGACCAACATCTTTTCCGCGTCGAAAAATTCAATTTAAACACAAAACAGAGAAAGTGAGGGAGCAAGAGCAAGCCCATCCAAAAGCGAGCCCTTTCAGCGTCCGCTGGGATTTCTCCCCTTCCAGATAACGTGCTGTTGCTCCCACACGCCGAAAAAAAGAAACAGAGGAAATTCCCTCAAAACAATCCAGAGAATGGCACACACTGAGCCGCGCATTCTCCACCAAATCTGTTAGGATGAAGCAGACAGAGACGGATCGTGGTGTGCCAAACTCTGGAAGTTTATTTAAGTTTCTCTCAAGTTCCACTGGTTTACTCCGTTTCTTTCTCTCAGACAGAATAAAGGCAGTACACAGTTTATATAGTCATTGTCACGTCACACATCGAAAGACATACGTGTCACAAAGAGACAGTCACATCATAGTCATAACATGGAGTCCTTGTAGAGTCCTTGTAGAGTCCTGCACGTAGGCCATATTGCTATCTAATACTAACAAAAGTTAACGTGAATTTATTGACTACAAAAATTAAAGATGGAAAATATAACGAAGGGGATTTCTGGTCACATTAAACAGAAGTTGTATACATCTCATTTGAAACACACATCCAACAGGAGCAGTCTTACTTTGAGCCGTTCAAGGGAGATGTTGATGAAAAGAGGAGGATGGAGAATGGAGATGGGAGGATGAGAATGAAGAATAGGATGGAGGCGATATCCTCGTCCACGTGGTCTTTGTTCGAACAGGGAGCAGGAGGAAGCCGGCAGATCGGATCCAGGCGTGGGTGCCACACACAACACGGTCTAGAATAGCGTTGCGGTGGGGTGTTCCAGGGAGCCCGAAAGTGGCTGGCGATGGAAGGTCCTCGTCTCCGACAGCGAGAGTGGCTGCTGTCCTTGTGGATGTACAGGCCCGAGATGGTGGCGGGCGTAGGCCGTGTAGGAGACACGTACCGAAAAGGAGAGTTGCAATAGTGATTTAGGGAGAGCCAAGAGGCAGTCTGTGGGTCCGCGCTTTGGTTTTGTTGTGGTCAAAGTGGGCGCGTCCGTGACGTCATCTTTGGGCGCCCCTTTGAGCCGGCATGTTCACACAGGCGAAACACAACACATATAGACATTCTATCGTTCATAATCATATACCGATACACAGTGCATTCACATCACAGACAACGCCACATACGAGTAGTGTCCGTAACGGTTATCAACATAATGTCATCGGGGAATGTCCGTTTCGAGTGTCCGCCTCGGGTGTGATAGTGTCCGGTATCCGCTGGGGGGCGCCATAACGCCGTGGGTGAGTCGTTGATTGTCCAGGGACAGGAAGGTCCCGGGGGTGAGAGCAGAGTTGTGATCTTTGATCTCTACAGGCAGGCAGAGACAGAGATGTTTATTCCCGTGGTGACTTTATTGCTCTGTTTGACGCCTGTAATCCCCATGATCAATGGCAGTCCTCCGGTCGACCTCGCTGTTCCTTTGAAGCAGCAGTGGGATGTCTCCCTCCTTTTGGTCGAATGTTTACACAGCCCAGGGCCTGGCTCTGTTGTCCGGCCCTGTCCCTTATTTAACCTTACAATTATTACGAGCACGCTATCTGCATAAATCTTCAGACTGCCTCAGACGGAGCCCCCAGTGAAGCCGATAGCAAGCTTTCACGGTTATTTTTCACCTGTTTGAGACACATGTTTGTATCTTGAACAACGATCAGAGGCTCATACAGCGGAGCAGCACCTGCAACGGCTTGAAACTCTGCCAGGTAACGCACTGAGAAAAGGACGCTGCAAATGTTTAATACACAGCAGCAGTTCTAATTTTCCATAAGAATCACATTACACAGAAAGGCCTTATCAGCCTCACTATAGAAGTCAAACTTTCGGTAGAGATCCCTCGAGTGAAGTCACAAGGCAGAGTGGAGACAGTGGACATTTGGCCTTTTTGTCCAAAAAATGTTCTTGAGAAGCGAAATCCAACCTTTTTAGTCCCATGCACCGGTTTAATTTCAGACAATAATACCTCGGTTCTGAACATTAATGTGGGAAAGTGTTTAAAAACGTATCCAGGCGACATTTAAAGTATGCAAAACCCACTGAATCCCCCACAAAACAATCGTCAAAATTCAGTAAATCAACAGGGTGTGAGTTTGAATATTCTGTTTTCTTACCGTGGTGGTGAGGCAGGTACAGCACTTTATGGAGTACGACAATTTTGGGCTTTTATTTAGCAGAATAGCCAACAACAGTTGAACAGTTACCCAGACAACATGAAAAACATTATCTGAATGTAATGGTGATGGATTATAGACTGTTATGCATTAGATATGAAGATCATTTTGTGTTTCCATGAAGCGTAAAGTCTCCTCTGGTGTCCTTCAAGTTTGGTCTGCTAGGGACACTCAATGGTCTATGTAAGATTAATGTATCTTTTAGAGCCAATAAACAAAATGTGAATACGGCTCAGAATAAAAGACCTTCACTCTGTGCTAATGATCTTTGCTAAACAAACATAATTACCTCAAATGTAATAGCTTTCCAGGGAAATCCTTTTTAAATGGTTTTGTTTTTTTAAACTGTGTTAATGTACTTTGGCCGTTTTCTGTGGTTTTGTTACCATTTGCCTGATATGATGAACCAAACAAACTTTGAGTAGGAACAATGGTTTATTGTTGTTGGCAGCATCATATACAGTCCCTTGAAAATGTTTTATATAAGTCGCATCAGTCACTAACATAAAGATATCGCATTGGTCTTTTATGTGAGGGCCCAAATCGACACGCAGTAGTGCATGTTTTCATTGTTGGCTGCTTTCGTTGTTCTATTTTATATGAAGCACTTTGGAACTTGTGCAAAAAGGTGCGATACAAATAAAGATCATTATTATAATTGCGTGGTTCAAAACAAAATATATTTATGTGTAAGAGTGGCCCAAAGTCCAGACCAAACTCCAATCCAGAAATGGTTGGTTCTGAAAACTTCTCACACTCTCCATCTAATCTGACAAAGCTTTGGCTGTTATGCAAAATAATAATAGGCAAAATGTCTCTATTACGCTGATTGCAATCTACCAGACATTTGTCAACGAGACAAAATGTGAAAGTTTTATTCAGTATGAATGCTTTTTGCAGGCACTTTTCTTCTATTTGAATTACAGTGACACATGCCTTAGTCACAGCCTCTTAACTTACTTTCCTCTTCTTTACACTTTAATTGTAAAGAAGAACTGGATACCATAAAGGGGAAATAAATGACATTTATTGCAACGACTTGTACGTATCTTATTCTCATCTGTCTGATGGCTGTGATATTTGGTTGATGATCTTTTTTAAATAGATGTTGTTTTAAGGTAAACACAACTAAAAGTGAGGTGAGAGATTTGAAGGAGTACTGAAGATAGAAGGACTGATATGTAGTGAGGATTTAATAAATAATGCCAACGCATTTTGACATTTAAGTCTTCATTAACGAGAGTTAAGCCAAGGCAAGGCAAGTTTATTTATATAGCACAATTCATACACAAGGCAATTCAAAGTGCTGAACAAAACAAGAAAGCATTAAAATCATAAATTATCACAGAACATTAAAAAGAAAGATAAAAATATAAAATCCCTCAGTTGTATGCACAGTTAAACAGAACTGTCTTTAACCTGGTTTTAAACATTGTCAGAGAGGAGGCCTGTCTCACATCTTCAGGATGACTGTTCCAGATTTTAGCAGCATGAATCTGAAAAGCAGCCTCCCCATGTTTAGTTCTGACTCTGGGCACTAAAAAGAAAATCAAACATTATGAAGGGTTCTATTCTTACTGATATAAACATCTTGGTGGCTGCAGTAGACAATAGAATATTGTACCTCCTGTTTTCACATATAGATCAAGATTTGGCTGATATTCAAAACCATTCCTCAAACCTCTCAGGGATAAATGCTCTCGATACAGACATAAGCATTTGATCCGAGATTACACCATTATGGTAAACATCTGACCTTCGACATGTTTGGGTTAATTCACTTGAGTCCTGTGCTACGCGCTGCTGATCTGGACATTAGAACAGAGATGGTCAGCTTTCAGCTAATGGGGCCCTAGGTTGGAGCACTTTGGCTTTTGTTTTATATGGAAGAGTTGAGGAGTCTAAAATCCCCTTCAGAGATCGATGTTCCTGTGTGTGTTTTTCAGTCTCAGCAGAAGTGCATTGTGGTCTTTGCTCTGGTGTGCTGCTTCGCCGTGCTGGTGGCCCTCATTTTTTCAGCCGTGGACATCTGGGGAGAAGACGAGGACGGAATCACAGAGGAGAACTGTGAGAGCAGCTGTCGGTAAGACTCAGTTTAAAACCCTATAAACATGCGTCAGAGCAGGCCATGTGAGAAGGCTGCTCATGAATTGGCTCAAATTCCATATATTATTTGGCCTGAAATAATGTGTCAATATAGACATACTGTAGGTGAATATATAAAAGGGAAATTCAAGTTCCCATCTGTATCTTATACAGACAAAACAAACAAATCATAAATACTTAAAAACATTTACTATAACTATTATAATGAATACATTTGTATAGCCGCTAGATTTCCACCATGAGAGGCTCCGGTTAAGGGGGAGATAAGTGACCATCTTTATTTGCAAGGCATCGTTGAAACCCCTGACCAAGACCACCCAGCCACTCCCACTGTTTTTACATTGTTTGTCAATCTAATTTTCTTAATCTGTAATCTGCAAACGATTTTGCCAGTAAGGAAGAGTTAGGAAAACATATTACTCACACATTGCATCTTGACGTGCAATGGAGCGGTACCATGTGACCATGTTTCACTGACGTCACATAAAGGTGTACAGCACAAATAGGTACAGACAACACTGTTTTAGCTCAATATTGAGAAAAATACTGTATGAATGTTATGTGCTCTTTAGGATATGGCAGGGGAACCTTTACTCGTATCACTAGATCAATCTTGACCGCATATTTTCACATTATTTGTCCTTTATTATGCTTTATTTATGTAAACCCTATAAACACTGACATGCTTTGTAGTTGCACTTGTTATTTTCAAAAGAGAGAGATTGTTTTTTAATTTAAACCATTTTATTTGTTTACTTGGCATTAATTGATTTCTGGATGGGTCTTGCTTGTCAATTGAAGTAATGCATTATGGTCATTAAGTCTTATTGATTGGAAACTACATTATTTATTGTAGCTCCCTCAGACTTTACAAAGTTAAGACATGTTTCATCTCATTTTGGAGCTCGGAGTCTGTAGAGTTTTCCTTTTGTGGTGCAATCCACACATCTTTTGTTGATGGCTGTTGGGCGTCTGCAGCAGATATCGTGGAAGTTTACAGTGTCATCCATAAATGATATGCTGTTTCACAAATATAATATATTATATATACGTATATACTACAAATAATGTTTAATTGTGTCTTTCTTAGCCATATGATATACAGAAGCAGTTGCGGGGGCTTCCAATAAGCTAATATGTTGTTTTTCCTTTTATATTTTCTTGTGGTGGAGTGAGGAGTGTGTGGGAAAGGGTTAAAAAAATGCTATTTTTGTAACTTGTGTACAACAACATTGCTTGACAAAGTTATCTAACATGGATTAAATGAAGACCATTTAAAACACTCATGAGAATTGTTAGTTTGAATAAATGTGATCATATTCACAAAAGTAAGAATAGTAGAGTAGGGTCTTGCATTGGAGTGAGTGGTCCATAGTTAAAGTACTGGATCAGCACTGGTTTGGCTGAGGCAGCACTCTTCTCTTCACTTCCTACTGGTTCTCCTTCATTAGATTTGTATCATTCAATTTGCCATTCAGCTTTGGATTGCTTCCCTCTTCTCTCTCCCTCTTCATTCTTTATGCTGTGTCCGTGCGTTCTTTATTTCCCCCCATAAACGAGAAGCCTAACAAGTCTTTCTGCGGCTTTCTCCTCCACTTTTGGTCTATGTATAGTGTAAGTGTGAACGACCCCCAAGGTTTTAGAGGAGAGAAATGAACAGTGGTGCAGAGGCAGATGTGAGGAGCACATGAGTATAGGAGTGTGGCTTGTTCTCTCTCATTAGTCGTCTTTTTCAAAGCCTTAAAAATGTCTGTTGAAGTCCACTGTTGTAATTAGATGATTTCACATTTTGGAAATTATTACATGGTGATCTTAATGTCTATGTAGAAGGCTGAAATCGTGATGCCTATAGATTTAAGACTCTCTTTCTGTGTTATCCAGTGTATTTGTGATGGTGAGCCAATCTAACCATGCATTTGCTGTGTATACTGCCTTGACAGTTGTAGCTTGTTTCCGACTGTGCCAAAATCTGATGCCATCGAGTGTATTAAAATGAGCAGTTTGGGTGAGCCACAACCTATTATCTGGTCAAGTTTTTTGTTATGTCAAAAATCTAAAGTAATAGGGCTGTAATTAACGATTACTTTGATCATCGATTACTGGGCAGATTCTTTTTTCAATAAATCAATTAGCTGTTTAGAAGGTCAGTACTATGAGATTTCTTTTTACATTGGACCAAATCAAAGGTAGTAATCATCTTCATAGAGAGGACATTGGGGTTGTTTGATTAAAAATACTCCTCTAAAGTCATTATACAATTATCTGAGCCATAAAACCTTCTCAGCATGTTTAAGTCAATGTGAGGTTCAAAAAACTATAAACCAACAACTAGTTACGGTAATTAATACGTTGTGATCAATAACTCGTTACAGCCCTAGATTGTATTGCTAATTGTCTGTGAATTCATCATACTTTTTATTGTCACCTTTTATTCTTTAACCAAATAAAACATTATCCTTTTTTGGGTGTCAAATTCTTGTATTATTTATACTTTCTTAATGTACAACTCTATACTGGCGTTAACATGAATAATTTAAATGTGTAGAGTACACAAGAAGGCATGGATTCTAATGATTTTTCTATTGAAGGAAATCCATTCTTTAAAACGACTACTTAAGGGCAGGGTGCACTTATAGTGGGTTATTAATCCTTATATTGCATATTCCCATCCAAAGTGATGAATACTCCTGTCTAACATGTGTACAAGGCTCAGTCCAGTTTTTAAGCTGGTTAGTATTGATTCACACAAGCTGCAATGAAAGAACACACTGACACATAGTGGACTGGACCATCAAAGTAGCTTTTAGCACCTTCTTGCTTGAACACACAGATCAACAAATCATTTCTGATAGAAACGTTTGCAACAGTTTATTTTATTATTTGCATTTGATTGAAGTTAACAGGACTTTAGGTTAATATTTTAAACTACATCTACATAGTTTATATGTGTCCCCTGGTAATAGGTCAACACTCACCAATCATATTTAGTCTTTTCTGAATAAAAGTTAAAGTGGAGTTATTGTTGATTTAAAATTCAATGGATTTTATGTCTATATTAATGTTTGTAAATCAAGCATATTATCCAACCCTCACATTTGGGTTGGGAGGGGTCAGAAAAAGGATCACAATTCAATTCCCATAAACAAACATAAATTCCAACTAGTATTATTTCAGTACGTTTCAAGTTGTTGTTTTTTTTCAAGAATTTCAAGTTTCCCATTCACTTTCAGTACACTAGCAGAAACATAGGAACAGTCTGAGTCGAGAACAATGTCTGAGTGGAAGTCCATATGTGGATTTGGAGAGGTGTGTTCATTAACATGCATGGTCCCAACCAAATAAACATCAAACTAACTAAACCAGTATAATTTAGCTATCTTATCATTATGACTTTTTAATTGCCTTTGATTATTTACATTATGCAACTTGTAGTGACTTAATGAGTTTAGATTTCAACACAGTGCTAGTTGTACCTAATTAAACCCTATCTCTCCATATCAGCAGTATCCAGGCTCTGTGATTCCCATATTAATGTCCACTCCTCTACAGCAGAAGGCCAGCACCCCAGAGAGAGAGGGAGAAAGCAGTGTATAATTTATCAGTTGTCAGCAGACCACCCCTCTGCCTTGGTAATGTTCGACCTGACCTGGTGTTATGGTTGCTTATACAAGTGGATCACACATGTTTTTTGTATGTAATGAGTTTTATGACATGCATTATTACAATGCTCGGCAGTGATTTATTATAGCCAGTGTGAGTGTGGAATTCTGACGCAGCAGTTTTGAGAGGACGTGCAATACATGGCTTTTGTTAAGTCTCTGCTGTGCGAGATTTGGATCATCAAGGGTCATCTATAAAAACTAATATTGTTCTCAGGGATTCAATAATTAGTGAAAAGACTTTATTACGGTAATTAGGGGAAGGGACTAGTGCGTTTTATAAGTTTATTTATTTTCACCAACCAATTCTGATTAAACTATTGATTGAGGAAAGACAGAATTTAGCAATCAAATGTCCTACAATAGGGACAGCAAAAGCAAATGTCCTAAGGGATCTGTTGTAAATTTAATATTGATTATTATCATTTGAGTTGTATTGCAGTAGAAGTAGAAGGTTGTTGTAGTGTCACATCTTGGTATTGTTTGAATACATGTTCACACCAAACAATCAAATTGAAAAGAACAATGCATGAACGACATTCAAGCATGTTTTGTTCTTTGGGAGACTGCTCTGAATTGTATGCGGCAGGTCTTGTGCAAACTGTAATTGTATTCTTGGGCAAGACACCTAGTATGAATGTGGGTGAAGGAGGTTGGATTGGCAACCTTGCTTCCATCAGCCAACGCCAGGGCGGCTGTCACTATTCGCCGTTGTCATTCATCATCATTAAGTGTGGAAGGAATAGAATAATGAACATGGCGCGGTCAGTAGCTATATCTGTAGCATGCATTGATTTGATTATGATTATGTGATGGAGACAAAACATGTTGGATTAAGCGACAACGTTTCACAACCCAGAACGAGTCTATTTGTGCACCAGGTTTAATACAAACACTGTCTGCTTGTTCAAAACACTCAAACACCCCATTTATCATGTCCGGCATCCATTACAGCCGACCGGGAGCATTTTTCCACAATAAGATTACTTCTCCTCCCCAGTCTGTTTTCAATCCATTCTTGTTGTGTCTTTTCTGATGCGTTCACTGTCCCTGTCCCAGTTCTTGTGTCGTTTGTAACAAAGAAGGTACTGAACTAAAGAGTGTAATCTTGCCTGTATATTTTCATCAATGCATTCATTTTGGTTTTCCGGTCAGCACTTCAGCAGTTAAGCTCTCTGACCAATGAAGGCGAATCCACTGCTATAATCCCAAGTCATGACGTGACTATTATAATGGCATTCCTCCCATACACTACTTAAAAAAGTACAGTTGGCAGAATCTCTATAGTCTTAAGCTGGTTTCAGAAATATGATTTTGGTGTTCTAATTCCTGAACAAATCCTCTACAATGTGTCTATTTGAATGCTGAATAAACTGCACTCTTAACTAAAATAGATTCTTTATCAGACGTCATCCTGGGAGATGGTAAACTGTTGGAGTCCTATAGTTTGACCCCTGGACCCTTTCCAATAGCTGACTCTGCTTTGTTTTAGCCAAGAATACTGGCATACTGAATACTGGCATAAACTTGGCATTTTGTATTTCAACATTATGACTGGTCTCTTCATTGCCCTATGGTGTTGTGGTCAATATCAATCAAAGGACTATAAAAGACGAACATTGTTTTTTGGTTGTCTGATTACCACAGCTAGTGCTGGTCTCGTCAGGCATTTGTCATTTCAAAAATGATGACTTGCGTTGTTGGCCAAAGCAAAACTTATGTTTCAGAGACATTATAAAAATATAGGTTTGTAGATTTGTACTATATAATTTAGCACATTGCTTTAGGTATACAGACATCTCAGGGATACAGATTTGACTCCAAGTCGTGCCAGATTTGTATCCCTGAGCACATTGCTTGGCTCGATAGATGTTGCCATTTTGATGAAAATCTGCTCCCAGGTCATACATTCTGTACATGCATCAGCTGTATGTGTCCATATTTAATATTTAGTGCTAGTGCCAACCTCACATATTGCAGTGAAAACACAATCCTTCCCTCTCCTCGTGACCACTGATCACTGAGTCAAGGGTGCACTACAGTGTTTAACATATAGGCTCCTTCACCTGCTGTCTCCAGAAGGGTTTTCTTTGCCGGGGATGTTTCAGGTTTGATTTAAGGATCCCCCTCACATTGCGTTGCATGAAATTACAACATTATTGAGGATTGAAATGATCTGCTGTAAAAGAAAAAAAAAAAAAGAGTTGTAGGGTACTTATGTTTTAAGCAATACTCACATGATATACTGTACCTTTCCATTTTTATTTCTTTGACAAATAATAACAACGCAAAACAAGTAAGTAAAGACAGTAAGGAGCATACAGGAAATGATATTTTTTCCCACCTGTAGAAAACTGCGTTTTTAATAGTAACTTAGATTAAGCAATTTTTGGTATTTTGAGCACTGCCAAGCTATCTAAAAGAAATAAGGTTTGTCCATGAGGGACACACATCAATCTATGAAATCAATCTATAAAAACATAAACCCCGAACCAGCTGCCCCCAATCGGCCGTTGGGAGGAAAGGGGGAAGGTCTCTTGCTCCAGAGAAGAATGTTCCACATTACTTATTTGTTTACTTTGGAGAAAAGTTTAATGGCAAAAATTACATTAACATGGTTAAAGCATATAGTGGGTGAATTTTGATGATTAACAAATGATTCAGAGGGTTTTGTTTTATGGCAGGAAGGTATTTGGGATGATGTTTGAGTAAGTTAAGATTCAGTTTGTTTGTGGGTTTAGTTAGACAGTGATTGACCATCTCCTTTGATGTGACTGTTTACCTGTCTTCTCTGTTTTTTTGAATCATCATACATGCACTCAGAAAAGTCATTTTCTGTTTCGACATTAGTTTCTGTTTGTTCAAAATGTCTTTTAGTTCCCTCAACTCTTGTGTTCCTCATAACAATAATACATAAGACCAATCCATTGTGACCTGGTCTTATTATTATCATGATCCATGGCTACCTTTTTATATCTATCAGACCCTTGGTCCCAAATATTTTACACTATGTATTTAAATGAACTTGTTACATTCAACTCAAACACACAAATGCCCTGTTCCCAAAAACAATGTGGATCATTACCCTCAGATTTCAAATATTCTAAATTTAGCTTCAAATCACTCATTAAGACTTTAAAATAGTTTACCATTTGCAGTAGGCTCTTTTCTTAAAAGGATTCCGAGGAGACAGTTGCAAACCCCAGGAGGTTTCCTAGAAGGGCCTGCAGTTTCATCCCACAGTGATCGACAATCCATAAAACACTCCTGGGCTGTACAACGGTCCATCCTGGAATCGTACTTCTAACACCAAAATTGTTGTGGAAATTTCCTTAATGATACATGGAAACAGAGTTGCATTTGTGTGGTTTAATGAAAATAAAAAGTACATGATGAGAACAAGCATTTACAAATGGAGAAAGCTTCTACAGTCCGCTCCTCGGACCCTGCATCAGTCTCTCGCTCTGAATGGGACTCACACAAGCTTTATCAGGATAGTCAGGTCCCTCATTGGCCAATAACCACAGGAAACACCTCTGCACTGATTACATGAAAATAGGTAACTCAAGGTATGAAGAGCAGAGAAACAAGGGGGGGTTAAGAGGGTCGAAGGGACAGAGGCAGAGGACACAGGAACAGGACATACAACTGAGGGATTGTATATTTTATATTTTTATCTTTCTTTTTAATGTACTGTGATTATTTATGATTTTAATGCTTTCTTATTTTTGTTCAGCACTTTGAGTTGCCTTGTGTATGAATTGTGCTATACAAATAAACTTGCCTTGCCTTGCCTTGACATTGTCCCAGTCCAAGATCACATCATCCACATGAAACAGTCACATCAAAGGAGATGGTCAATCACTGTCTAATAACTAAACCCACTATCAAACTGCATCTTAACTTACTCAAATATCATTCCAAATACCTTCCTGCCAGAAAACAAAACCCTCTGAACCATTTTCATCACAATTCACCTGCTATGCTTTAACCATGTTCATGTAATTTTTGCCATTAGAAAAGCAAGTGGCATAGCTTGACTAAGACCCTGTTCAGACAAAGATGCTGCAAAGACGCTGCGAAGACGCTGCGAAGACACTGCAAAGTTGCTGCAAACATGCTGCGAAGCAATTGGCAAAAACAACCATTCAAATTGTACAGTGTTTAGACAACAACAAAAACAATGGAGTTCTAGCGCCCGGCCAGTAGGGAGCAGTGGAACGTTCCAACACGACATGCATGACTCCCAGCAGTATAATCACTTCCTCAACAACATTCTCCTCAGGTCACTGCAAAGACGTGACAGAATGCGCCAACATCATTCTGCTACAGTATCTGCGAAAATGGAAACTGAAACTAGAAGCGTGGTTTTGGACGAACGAAGGAGTAGAATTCTCCTCCGTGTAGCATGCGTAGCACCTGTTAGCATTAGTGTACCTGCCGCCATTGTTGTTTACGTTTCTTCTCGGCTACTGCGCATATCCAAATGAAATGGTGAGGTCATTGTAGCAGAGAATTCACACCTTTTTCTTCACGCAGCTGTGAAAACAGCCCCCCACTGAGCAGCGTGTCTGTTTTCACTTCCCTGAGGCACAGTCTCCATGTAAACAGGAGGCCAAACAGATACCCAACTCTAATGTTTTATTGTCACAGCGTCCTTGTCTAAACTGGGCCTAAGTTACATGTCAAGTAAGACTTCAGGTTTTTATGCAGTAAAAAATGTATTCTCCCAACATTGCGCTATAACGACACACACACACACATGAACTTTGTAGTCGCTAATGCTACCATGGTCAATAAAAGGAAGAAGGCTGAACAAGGAAGTATGTTTTTTTCATCAATTTGGATGCAGCCAGGATTTACAGAGTCAGCATCGGCCACATTCAACTGTCTCGCAGCAGACTGAGACCACGTCTTTCAGGCGCTCTTTACTGCTTCACAAAATGAGGCTGTGATGTTCTTGTTGTGTTCACACAGCCCTGCTGCACCACTTTAATCTTTGAAGATGACAAAAGACATCAGAGAAGTCAAGGAATATTCCCACAGACCCCTTAATACTACATACATGAGAGTGAACTAAACCTCGTCCAAACTGGGACAACATGGGATATTAAAACATAAAGGGTCTAGAAAGCCATAATATTATAATATTATTGAGAAGGTGGCAAACCCCATCAAAAAGTTGAAAAATATACCATTAAAATATGTTCCCAATTGAATTATTGTGGTGATAATTTCATATATAATCATATGTTTATTTTTTATTTTTTAATAACTGAGATGAACTGGAAGAAAATGTTTTTGATAGTATATTGAGAGTATCTTCCTTGAGAATGTGCTTCATCTGCATGTACACATTTAACATAAAGGCAGAGTTTGTAATTACATGCCACACTACTTTGCAACTATTGGATTCTAGACTGCTGATGATTACACAAAACACATCCTGTGATGATAGCGGAATGTGTAGCCTCTATAGGAGCCTGCACAATGACTCCCTGGTTGTAATTTAATCTCAACATATTACGGAGAAAACTGCATGCTAGTTCACAGACACACACACGTGCACATACACAAGGTGGTGATTGTAATAAACCTTGGCAAAGACATCAACAATGTAACCTCCGCACAATGGCACAAAGCTCATAATCATTTGAACGTATGCTTTGTGGACATTTCAAAATGGTGCATTATTTTTAGTATGTGACCGCAATATCTCACCTTTTTCTCTTTGTTTTATAGAGCTGTACTGGTAGAAAATATTCCAGAAGATGTACCATATTCTGACAACAGATCGTCCTACCTGCCACTCACACAGGGGCTGTACAGTCTCTTGGACCAGGCCGTGAGAGTGGTGGAGATTGTCTCCCCGCGGTGGCTCCTAAACTCCTCGGATTATGAGTCCAGCTTTCAGCCAGCTGCCAGACAGGTAACCCGACTGGGCACTTTTTAACGGTTCCAACTGGTCATTTTAAAAGAGCAAAATGTAAAAATCTGACCAAAAGTGGTACTATCTCTTCTCCCACTCTCCCTGACTCAGGTTGCCAGATATGCAGACAAATCCATCTGGGACCATAATATCTGAATAGACAAGAGTTCTGTAAAAGGCCAATACAACATTGCATTTAAAATGAAAATGACAGTGAAAGCTTGGTGTATTATTGAGTAGGCTACTTTGACACAACATAAAAAATAAAAAGTTCATATGGAACAAACTAAAAATACGTAAAATACAAAGCAATTTCACTTTCTGCGCTTGGAATAGGACTAACATTCTGGTTCCGGGGGAGATCACTGGGGGAAAAAATTGTTTTGTTCAGTTTGTACAATTATATTGTGACCTGAGTTTCGGATCACAAAGGTAGGCCGACTAAGGATTTAGAAGAACAAGCTCACATAATTAAATATCTTGCCTACAGCTTTTGCAGTCTGTGCACAAACGCTTGCAATGAAGCTATTAAACAGTATACATGTCAGAGGTAATGAAAGCAGGGGGCAGCTGATTGAAAAGTAGAAAAGAAATAGCTTCTTGAGATGGATCTGGGAACAGTCTCTGGGCTCTCTCTGCTGTCCTGAACAGACCAGGCCTACAGCCATCATCATGCAGGTGAACAGTTTCAATAGTTGTGTCATAACCCGGCTCAATAGAAATGACAGAAACACGCCAAACAACAGTTGCCAATTGAAATAATGTTTATTAATAAGCAAAGTTAATATTTTAATGAGGTGTGGAAGTCTGTAATGAGTGCGTGTTAGTGTATGTGCTATGAGCGTATGTCTGCAGTGTTGAATGGTGTGTAGAAAATAAACCAAAACGAACCAAGACGAACGAACCAAAACGAACCAAGCAACCAAACCAAACCAAAACCATACAAAAGGAGGCGGGACACGCAGGTGTCAAGATGGGAGCAGGATGAGCCAACAACCATCTCTGGCATGTGCACGAGCTTTAAAGGCGCGGCTCCGTGTGTCACGCACGCGCACCAATGAGCACAGCTTCCACCTGAGAGAGGAGGATATACGGCCCGTCAGTGGCCGTAACACCCCCCCCCATAAACACGAGAATTCTCCCCAAAGAATTTTTGTTCAAACTAGCGCACAATAACGAGTGCAAAACGAACACCACCCAGAAGACCGCGCCCACTTCGCAGCCTCCACCAGGCTTCACAGCTCCGGAGCCCAAAGGGGAAGAAGAGGAAGACTTGCACTGAGCCCCCAGCACTCCATCCTCAGGTTCCTGCACAGAAAGAGCGACAACAGCCCGAACAGGGCGCACATAATCCTTAATAAAATACTCCTTTGGCCAACTCTCTATGTGTGCCTCCGACACAGACACATCAAAGGACCTCACCACAGTGTCAGCATCCTCACACGCTTGAACTAACCCTGCGTCAGCCACATCTAACTCTGCACCATGACTGCCCGCGTCACCGCGCAGGCATGGAACAAGTCTGGCTGCAACGACACAGTGCACGTAGGAACAGTAGGACCCAATGTACCCACAAGTGGTTAGCTGGCACCTCCCCAACGACAGCATCCACAGTCTCCCCACCACCAGAGTCTGTGTCAGCCCAGACACGACCACCAACCAACCCATTTCCCAAAATAATATGAATCCCATCTATGGGCAACGCTGGACGCACACCGACAGCGACCTCCCCTCGCAGCAGCTCACACTCCAGACACATCCTGTGCAACGGAATGGGCAACACGGCCATGCCCATGCCACGGCTCAATACGAAGTCTCCCGTAGCGGTCTCTGCGGAGAAAAGCAACACTGAACCGACCACGAACGAGTCATACGCCCTTGTATCCCGCAGGATTTTAACTGGGACTTTATCTCTCCCAGGCAGAGATACAAAGCCCTCACGAATGAACGGTGAATAAGATGCAAACACCCAAGACCCACAATGAACTGGAGCCGCGAACGCAGCAGGCTTAACATATGAACTGGATATGTTACTCCTGGACCTCAACACCGGACATTCAGCCTTCCAATGGCCCTCCTCGTGACAATAATTACACATTTCACTCCCATCTCGCTGATTGACAGACACCCGCATGTAATCAGGATCACGCGTGACATCATCGACCGGTCCTCTGTGAATTAAAACATAATCATCTGCAAGCGCAGCTGCTGAACTTGCAGTTTCAGCCTTCTGCTCACAAATATAAGTCGCCACAGGTTTTGGCATAGAATTTTTCAATTGCTCCAAAACAATTAACTCACTCAACCTCTTAAAATCGGTGACTTTGGATACTGCACACCAGCGAGAAAAATGAGTCTTCAAATCCCGCGTGAACTCCAAATAACTCTGACCCCCGGGTTTTTTACTAGATCGAAAGCGCTGCCTGTAGGCTTCTGGCACCAACTCGTACGCCTTCAGAACTGCGGCCTTCACCAAATCATAATCCTGACTGTCTGACACAGACAGCACAGACAAGGCCTCTTGAGCGCGGCCCACCAAAACACACTGTAAAAGCATTGTGCGCTCCGAATTGTTCCAACCCCGCGCTATAGCCAAGCGCTCAAAAATATGGAAAAACGAATCCGGATCATTTTCCGAAAATTTTGGTAGCAGACGCAAATTCCCAACTACATCAAACGCAGCGTCAGAGCCAACAGACTGCAGAGTGGAGGAGTGAGGCTCCTCCTGCCGCCTTTTAATCTGCTCTAACTTCACACGCTCTATTTCAAATTGTAACTCTAACAATCTGAGTTGCTGCTCATAAGTGAGAGCTTGCGTCACCGCTGCACCAGGATTAGCAGAACCAGAGGCCTCACCTGTGGCACCTGAAGACATAGTGGCCCCTGGCCTGTCCTTCAACACACCGAGGTTAATCAAATTCGCCACCAATATCGATCTCAAATTTTCCTTTAATCGTTTAATGTCCAGATCCAGATCATATCTCTTTCCAATGTCAATAAGTTGTTCCTTAGTGCATTTAAACAAAAACTCCTCAGAGGGAGCATCAAAAAAGTCAGAGATATTCACCATCCTTCTGTAATTCCCTACCCAGTCCCGCAAAAATCAACGTGAGCTAAAGTGCCCAAAGCAAACGCACACCCACAAAGATCCACAGCTGACCAAATGTCCCGCTAAACCTAGACTCAACCCTGATCTTCACACGGTTCTGCGGCGGGGTTTTAAGCACTCCAAGGGGAGACCAGTGTGACCACGGTTTGCGCACCCGAGAACGCCGTGAAAACGGCGAACACCAACCGCTCCCCGCGACTTAAACAAAAAAAACTAAAAAAATACGCAGCCAAAAGAGCCACGTCCCTGTGCCTACCCGGGACACCGGTCAAATTGTCACCACTGGATCTAGGTGCTAAATAGACACTTCACTCACCTTGATCTGCTGAACACGGGCCAAACTCATCCTTCCAACTCCCAGCAAAAAAACAAAAACGTGCCTCTCCCGCATCCACACACACAGGCGTCTCGGAGAGACCACCCACAGCGTCCCAGCGCCACCGAGGGAGACTCCGCTCTCAAGCCACCCAACGGCGCCCACACGCCAGAGCACTCCGGACTGCAAACACCGGGCAGGACACACCGGGCGGACGTAGCGCTCCTAACTTCTCTGCGCACTAACTTCTCTCCGGAGACTTCTCTCTCGCTGCTACTGTGTGTACTACAAGTCACGCTGCTTCTATTGACGGAAGTGAGCGAGAGAGAAGTCTCCGGAGAGAAGTTAGTGCGCGGACGTAGCGCTACTCAGATTACTACGCCTCACAATATAGTACCCGTTTTATCCGCTGAGAAAATCGACTGTTACATTTCTGTGTTACTATACTTTGCAGTGTAACACGTCACGTAACTATATACATTTAATAGGGAACACTTGGAAGAGTTTGGTAGCTTCTAGCGGGAGCTACCTTTTGGGTACTATACAGTGACCAGAGGAGGCTGCGGTTGTGCTCCCGTTTTTGCTCCGTTTGCATGACAGAGCGCACGGACTAAGACCAGACAGGTACGTATTAACTAGTCTAAGGTAAGGTAAGAACATATGTCAGTATGTAAAAACGGTGAACTATTCCTTTAAAGGCGCGGCTCCGCGTGTCACGCACGCGCACCAATGAGCACAGCTTCCACCTGAGAGAGGAGGATATACGGCCCGTCAGTGGCCGTAACAGTTGTCCCCTTCAACGCCACAGTAATTGAGCTGCAGATTATCAGACCAGTAGGATGGACTACTTTGCAGTACTCCATGTCAGCACTTTTATTTTGAGCTGCTGTCCAAAGTTTTTTTCTGTCAACTAAATGGCTTTTACTTTCTCAAAAAACATGGTCGGAAATGTCTCTGCAAATTCTAATAAATCTTCAGGTTTTAGTGAATTCAGTTCATAAAAGGTCCAAAATATACTAATATACTATACACTTCACTTTTGAAGAGAAAAAAATGTTTGTGAAATAAACGTATTTGACTTTGTAGTGACTCAGCGGCTGTATGAGTGGTCAGCATGGCGCATTTACTTTCCATCACAGTAGTCTGTAGGATGTAATAGGATCAATTGTTTTCTTTCTCCAGAAAACCTGCAAAACAATAGATCCTGGATCAAAAGTTAAAGGTACCATGCTGACCACTCATACAGCCACTGGGTCACGACAAGGTCAACATGCAGAAGTTTTTTCTCATAAAATGTTGAAACTTTAAAGATGGAAAGTAGATGTATTTCTATAGTGTAGTTGAGTAATGGCTTATCTGATGCCACTGCTTCACAAAAACTTGCTTGTGCTCAAATTAATGTTAATACAGAAAGAAAAGTAGGTACTCCTTGAACATAGCTTGTGTCTACATTTTGGATGGTATTCTATGAGTTGATGTTGTGTTCGTTTTCAGACATTTTTCACTAGGGTCACAAAATGTTGTATCTTGTGTAACTATTTCAGCTTGACAGAGATTTATTGTTTCTATGTAGCTGTTTATTTGCTTCATTGCATTAACTGATTGGTGCTGTATTTATTCCAGGGCAGGGCTCTGTTGTCCAGACTTCAGGGACTCAAAACCAGAGGAATCCAGCTGAGGATCTCCAGTGGGACGATTGACTCGAGTGAGCTGATGGCTCTGGGCAGACATTGTGAGTCGGCACAGTCCATCTCCTCTCACTGTAACAGATGCAATCCTACAGCTGATACATTTTTCATTACACATGTGCAGATGCTGAGGTCCACTATTTGAATATGACAGCACTCACCAAAGGTCACCTCCTCTCGTCCTTCTGGGTCATCGACAACAAGCACTTCTACTTTGGCAGCGCAAGCATGGACTGGAGATCACTGGCCACGGTATCACATATCCTCCTCAACACATGCACTATCAGGATTCTGCTGCATCCAGTTATTTACAATTGAGTCAGGTTGGGTTTTGCTTCATGATTCATGAATAAACAAAGAAATAGGGGTTTAGAAAGTTCAGTGATTGCGACTAATCGATTATTAAAATAGTTGTCAACTAATTTAGGCAAGGCAAGGCAAGTTTATTTGTATAGCACAATTCATACACAAGGCAACTCAAAGTGCTCGACAAAATAAGACAGCATAGTAATCAATAAATAGTTTTTTTTTCACTAAAGAATGTTTCCTAATCAAACAACCAGTTATGTTTTTGAGTATTTGACAGATTTAAATGACTAATCGATTAATCAAAAGAAGAATTGCCCAACATATTTATTATCAAAAGTAATTGTTATTTACACCCCTAAAAAACATGTTATGTTTACTGTACATGTGGGGAAACTATTCTTTTATTACATATACTCAATGTATACTCTTGGTTGTATTGACAAAAAGTATCACTCAAGGTCAAACTTTAATAATAATAATAATAATAAATATTAATTTTTATATCACTATTAAAAATGTGTTTACAAAGTCGGCATAAGGCAATAAAAACATTCATGATAAAAAATAAATACAGCAGAATAAAGCAGACGGACAAAACAAAGACAGGGTGGGACAGTAAAATACAGCATGTGAAGTTTAAAACTAACAGTTAAGGCAAGGCAAGGCAAGGCAAGTTTATTTGTATAGCACAATTCATACACAAGGCAACTCAAAGTGCTGAACAAGATAGCATTAAAATCATAAATAATCACAGAACATTAAAACGAAAGATAAAAATATAAAATCCCTCAGTTGTATGCACAGCTAAACAGCACCGTTTTTAACTTGGTTTTAAACATTGTCAGAGAGGAGGCCTGTCTCACATCTTCAGGAAGATTGTTCCAGATTTTAGCAGCATGAATCTGAAAAGCAGCCTCCCCATGTTTAGTCCTGACTCTGGGCACTAACAGGAGTCCAGTCCCTGTGCTCCTCAGAGTCCGGGCTGGTTCATATGGGACTAACATGTCACTAATATATTTTGGTGCGAGGGCATGGAGAGACTTGTACACAAGCAGAGCTGTTTTAAAGTCTATTCTCTGAGCCACAGGAAGCCAGTGCAGAGACCTGAGGACTGGACTAATGTGGTCGTACTTCCTGGTTCTAGTCAGGACTCGAGCTGCTGCATTTTGAATGTACTGCAGCTGTTTTACAGCCTGTTTGGACAGACCTGTGAGCAGGCCATTGCAGTAGTCTAACCTACTGGAGACAAATGCATGGATAAGAATCTCCAGGTCTGCTTTAGACACTATGTTTTTGATCCTGGCAATGTTTTTTAGATGGTAAAAAGCTGCTGATGTTACTGATTTGATGTGGCTATTAAAATTTAAGTCTGAGTCCAGTATTACCCCTAGATTTCTGACCTTGTTTGAAGGTTTTAGGGAGAGAGACTGTAGATGACAGATGACGCTCTCTCTTTGTTTCTGGGGACCAAAGACAATCATTTCAGTTTTGTCTGCGTTTAGCTGAAGGAAGTTGTTTTGCATCCACTCACTGATCTGTTGGATACAGTGAAGGAGTGAGTCCACAGTTAAAAGCTGTTCGATAAAAATAGGTTTTAAAGGTACTCAGTGTAATTTTTACAGTTGCTCCAAATGAAAAAACATGTTAACCAATAACAAATGTGACCCTTTTAAATATTTACCTGCACCATGTTTTAGAATTGTTATCATAGACTTAGGATTTGACTTATAAATGTCCATGAAAGCTGGACTCGCCAGATCAATGCACCATCTTTAAATACATTGGTTGATAAGGGACAAAAAGGGAAGTGAGATGTGAACAACCCAAACAAGAATCTTGTAGAAAAAGAGTATTGCAAAAATCTAGAAACCCGCGTCATAAAAGCAAACTGTCAACATCGCAAACCACACGCACCGAAAGGCGTGAGTGAAAAGGGAGTAAAACTACAGTGTACCTTCAAGAAGTGATTTAAAAGAGGATGCTGATGGTGCTAGCCTTATCTTTTACCCTGCATAATTCTTGCATTGTTATGAACCCTGTCTGTCAGGGTTAATGACGATATAGACAAATCAGATTGCATCAAAGAGGACATTTAACTTCCATAAATGTTGTAAAAACAGAAATGTTAGAATTCAATGTGAAGCTCATGTACATAAAATTGACTCAACACTTTAAAAAGAGAGACAGGCTTTGTATCACCTCACTCCTTGCTGCTGCTAGGACAATAAAAAAAAAAAAAGATGCTTCCCAAAATTGTTTGTTGCAAAAAGATGAAGGACATGACCCTTCTTGTGAAAGAAAAGATACAAGGTGACGGTGTGTTGTGCATATTGCAGAAATGCTGTTGAATTTGTATGCATACTTTTTCTTTATTTTCTGTATCTAGAGAAAAGAGCTGGGTGTTGTGGTGTACAACTGCAGCTGCCTGGCCTTGGACCTCCACAAAGTGTTCAGCCTGTACTGGGGACTTCAGTACAAAGACTTCATCCCTACTTTCTGGTCCAAGCGACTTTTTGCCCTTTTCAACAGGGACCAGCCGCTGGAGCTGACACTGAACAGCACCAAGGCTCAGGCCTATGTCTCTGTAAGTCACTGGAATATTTGTTTTCTCATTGTTATGTATTACACACAGACTAAGAATCAATCAATCAATCAATCAACGTTTATTTATAGAGCGCCTTTCCTACACAAGGCAACGCAAAGCGCCTCACAACCCATATAACATCATGCATAAATCATCAAACATTAGAATTTAAGTAAACATAAAAAGACAGATTAAGAGCACAAGATATATAAAATCACACAAGTAGTTAAAAACCGTAAAAAATTAAAATCACACAAGGGATTACAATCATAAATAATCATAAATAATCATAGCGCATTAAAAAGATTAAAGATAAAAACAAATGTAAAATCATTCACTTGTATGCACAGCTAAAAAGAACTGTTTTCAGTTCAGTTTTAAAAACTGCTAGAGTAGACGCCGGTCTCACACTCTCGGGAAGACGGTTCCAGACTCTAGCTGCATGAATCTGAAACGCAGCCTCCCCATGTCTAGTTCCAACTCTTGGCACTAACAGAAGTCCAGTCCCTGTGCTCCTCAGAGCCCGAGTTGGTTCATATGGCACCAACATGTCGCGGATGTACCCTGGTGCGAGGCCATGGAGAGACTTGTACACAAGTAAAGCTACTTTAAAATCTATTCTCTGAGCCACAGGAAGCCAGTGCAGAGACCTGAGGACCGGACTAATGTGGTCGTACTTCCTGGTTCTAGTCAGGACTCGAGCTGCAGCATTTTGGATGTACTGCAGCTGTTTTTACCGCTTGTTTAGAGAGACCTGTGAACAAGCCATTGCAGTAGTCCAATCGACTGGAGACAAATGCGTGGATAAGAATCTCCAAGTCTGCTTTAGACACAATGTTTTTAATTTTAGCAATGTTTCTTAGGTGGAAGTAAGCTGATGATGTCACAGATGATATGTGGCTATTGAAATTCAAGTCTGAGTCCATTATTACTCCTAGATTTCTGACCTGAGTTGAGGGTTTCAGGGAGAGAGACTGGAGGTGGCAGATAACGCTCTCTCTTTGTTTCTGAGGTCCGAAAACAATAATTTCAGTTTTTTCTGTGTTTAGCTGGAGAAAGTTATTTTGCATCCAATCACTGATCTGTTGGATACAGTGAAGGAGCGAGTCCACTGGTCCATGTTCTCCTGCTGTCAGGGACACATAGACCTGAGTATCGTCAGCGTAATTGTGATAGGACACGTTATTACTGTGTATTAACCTACCCAGAGGCAGCATGTAAATATTAAACAGGAGAGGCCCCAGGATTGAGCCCTGTGGCACTCCGCAGGTCAGGGCCAGATGGTCTGAGACACAGTTTCCGATCTCCACAAAATACTTTCTGTCCTGTAGGTAGGATATAAACCAGCTTAGGGCTGTTCCAGAAACACCAACCCAGTCCTCAAGTCTCTGAATGAGGATACCATGATCGACAGTGTCGAAAGCAGCACTCAAATCTAACAGGATAAGAACTGAGACTTTTCCTGCGTCAGTGTTAAGTCTGATGTCATTTGTTACCTTCACTAGAGCGGTCTCTGTGCTGTGGTGGGGTCTAAAACCAGACTGGAACATATCAAAAGAGTGATTGATTATTAAAAATTCTGTAAGTTGTTGATAGACAACTTTTTCTAGAATTTTACCCATGAAAGGCAGATTTGAAATGGGCCGATAACTTTTAAGTGCCAAGGCATCCAGACTCCTCTTTTTTAGGAGGGGTCTGATGACTGCCGTTTTCAGGGCCATTGGGAATGTTCCAGATTCAAGAGACATATTTACTATATGCGTGAGTGAAGGTAAAAGACTGCTCAGAACAGATTTAAGAAATCTTGGAGGTAATACATCCAGGCTACATGTAGAAGAACTCAGACTTGTAATTATCATTTGGACAGTTTCATTTTGTACTGGTGTAAAGTGTGTCAGCCCAAAAAGCTTCACTGGCTGTTGGATTGTAATTTCTACTGTGGAGGTGATGGCATTTTTGATGCCTTGGACTTTGTCATTAAAAAACTCAGCAAACTCATTACATTTGGTTTTGGAGGTAAGCTCTGATGGCATCTTAACAGGGGGATTTGTCAATTTATTTACCATTGAGAACAGAACGCGTAGATTGCCACTACAACCTTCGATTGTTTCGGAAAAATAAGTTTCCCTCGTTCTACGTAGCACACTGTTGAACTTGCACAATGCATCTTTGAAGATCTCATGGTCAACTTGGAGATTTGACTTTCGCCACTTCCGCTCGGCTCTCCGGCACTCTCTCTTCTGTGCCCTGACAGAGTCTGCTTTTGTCCATGGCGCCTTTTGCTTATTTGTAACAATTTTGACCTTTACAGGAGCAATCGTGTCCAGAACATCCAAAACACTAGAGGTGACAGAGTTAAGTAATTCATCCACCGTAGAACACAACGTGTTATCAAAGTTTATCATCCCCATGAAAAGTTCACCTGTATTTTTGTTTATGTGTCTTCTTCTTCTAACAATTGAGGATTCAGCTCGTGCTTTACTATTGAGACACATATCAAAAAATACACAGAAATGATCTGACAGAGCAACATTGGCCACATTTACATTTGAGATATTAACCCCTTTAGTAATTAGCAGATCGAGAGTGTGTCCTCTGCTATGGGTGGGGCCACTCACATGCTGAGTGAGACCAAAGGTTTCCAGCACAGAGCTCAGCTCTTTCGCGTATCTATCATTAACGTTATCTACATGTATATTAAAATCACCTATGACGACTAAACTATCAAAGTCTGTGCACACAACTGAAAGCAACTCGGTGAAATGATCAGTGAAACTATGACATGACTGTGGAAACGGGAATATTATGTTAAGCACCCACATCAATAAGCAATTGTCTTCTCATATATATGTGTACACTCCAAAATAACATATACAAACATTAACAAAGCATTAAAAACCTTAATTAAAAAATATATATATTATGGATTGTTTTTTATAATATAATAATGCTACTACAGTACAATAGGGCAACAGTAGCTCAGTTGCTAGAGCATTGGCCTTTGAGCCAGAAGGTCGTGAGTTCGAGCCCGACTTTCACCATCAACTCCCACTGTCTGCTGTCGTTGTGTCCTTAGGCAAGACACTTTACCCCAATTGCCTAGAATGAGTCTGGTGTGTGTGTGTGAATGGTTGGTGGTGGTCGGAGGGGCCGATGGCACAGACTAGTTGCCTCGCTTCTGTCAGTGTGCCCCAGGGCAGCTGTGGCTACAGTAATAGTTTATCACCACCGTGTATGGAGTGAATGAATAATGACATGTAAAGCGTCTTTGAGTGCCCAAAAAAGCGTTATATAAAACCGATGCATTATTATTATTAATAATGCTAGGAGGTGAAATGATATCTTAAGTAGAAAATATATGGTGAAAGTACCAAAGGTACCACCAGTGGGAGAGGTAGAATTGTTATTTTCCAAATTTGAAATTGCCATAATTTCTCAGGGCAATAAAAGTAATTTAAACATAATTAATTTAGAAGGCAGAAAACTACTAAACTACAGAATGATTAGAATGTGTGTTAGTACGCTGTAAAAAGAACAGCATGCAGAATCGTACAACAATAAATCAGCGAAAATGCAAGGCTATGAAAGGTGAGCCTTTAATTTGATAGTTTTCCTACGTTGGTTGCGCAGCTTCTAGCCCCAGGTCGAGTTTTGGAGGGCTTGCGTTTATGTTATAGTCTTTATCCAATCATTGTTCAGCCGACATGTGTTGCAAGGATCAAAAACCTGCCTGGAGGTCTTCAGAAGCAACAGTGCAACATGGTAGCTTAAAATGAATTAAAACAAACCTGTTGCATTAACCAATCAGTGTCAAGTTGGCTTCACTGAAACCAGTATCTACAGTTTCTGGGTCAGCTAGTAGGCTACAGTATCAGAGCGTGCACGTCTTTAGATTGGATAAGCAATATAGAGAGACTTGTCAAATTAAATTGCCATGTGTAGCGCGACAAGTTGTTTCAGTTTTTTCGACCCTCCTAGCTGAAGGAGGCGATATCGATTTGGTCACAGATATAGTTACAGCCCCATTCTCATGAAAAGCTGTTCTAGAAAAGCTAGATGCTAGCAAGCTTGACTCAGGAGAAAGGATTTATCTGCCTCTACGAACGTGAATCCTGGCTGCTGGCTCCGAGAAGCATTTCAAATTATCTCCATGTGAATAGTTCGTCTGTATTATCATGCTTCTGTGACGCTGCTCTGCATGCAACGAATTGATTGATTTGAGTTGATTTGACAGTGTGCTCTGTCCTGTTTTGTGAAAAAACTTGTTAAAGCTTATACTGTAGAATTATTGAATAAAATGCTACTAATATAACTCTGTTGTACTTAATGAGATGCAATTTGCATAATGTGTAGACCCATTGCATCATAATTATGGTTTTAGATTATGTTGGGTATACGGAATCACATTCATCCAGAATTTCTCCCACAGGGATCAATAAAGTATCTATCTATCCATCTATCTATCTATCTGATGGTGCAGGTCTGAAATGCATTGCACCTGCAATAATATTAAGATTAAGAGATCCTTTATTGGCCCCTTAGTGGGGAAATTTCAGTGTTGCATCACAGTAGGACAGTAGGAATGAGGAGCACACAGCACAAGATCAATAAGATGAACAATAACTCTGTACTAAATAAAATCTCTAACTCTAGTATGAATGAGAAACAAGTATAACATTTCTATCTTTAGCATAATGAGTACAAAAACTCTGACTTTCGCATAATAAAGAAGTATTTCTATGTCCCAAAACTGTTTTAGAGCATGGTTCAAAGAACAGCTCTTGGCTCATTGTAATGTAAGTTACACATACATTACAATGCTGAGGAGAGTGGATTTGTTTTTTTCTTACTTGTAGCTTATTTTTTTGTACCTTTTTGTTGACAGACTTCTCCTGATGTGTTGATCCCCAAAGATCGCAGTAGTGACTTAGAAGCCATCAGCAGAGTCATTTTGAACGCCCGGCGGTTCATATACATTTCCATCCCTGATTATCTCCCTCTTTTTGGCATGAATAGCAAAAGGTATTTTCTACTTGAATCTGATTTGTTTGTTATGTTTGTTTGGAACTATACACACAATTTTGTTATTTCTGTCTCTTCTCAGGTACTGGTCCCGTATTGATGGCTTCATTCGTGAGGCTTTGCTCTTGAGAAAAGTCCATGTCCGTCTGTTGATAAGCTGTTGGGAAAATACAAATCCTCTCACGTTCAACTTCCTCTGGTCTCTGAAGAGCTTGTGTATGGAGCAAGTCAACTGCTCTCTTGAGGCTGTTAGTTTTCTATTTTTTCATGTTTCATTTGTTCTAGTTACATAATCTACTTGCATTACTTATATGTTTGTGTATTTGTGCAGAAGTTCTTCAGGCCTCGAGTGTTGAGGGATGGTAACGTGCAAGGCATTAATCACAACAGATTTATGGTGACCGACGGAGCAATTTATTTAGGTAAGTGGAAGAAAGTTAATGACTGTAATAAAAATCCGTCCAGTTTTGACACGCACGTATTTTTGGACTCTCTCACATCTTTAGATCAGCTTAGTCAGACAGAAACGTGAAACAGAGTTTACACCCCAATTCAGCACTTGGCCCAAAGCGTCAAAGAGTGACTCGCAGGGCTCTTTATTAATAATAATAATAATAATAATACATCAAACTTGTATAGCACTTTTTTGGACACTGGAAGACGCTTCACATGGGGAATAAATCTTTGAAGTATGCAAAAAATAACATTTTTTAATAAAATGAAGACAGCATGTTGTGGTGAGATTTGTTCACAGAATTTTACTCAAGACTATGTCTGTAGGGACAAAGAAAATATGTTATTATGAAAAAAGATAAATTGTTATCCCAGCTTTAAGCTTTAAACATTGCTTCATGGACAGCAGATTTGCCCTTTTACTAATCGTAAGTGTAATACAGAATGTTTTTGTCATTGAACAATTGTTATTTTTCCTAGAAAGATGTCCATCTTAATGTAGGCTCTCAAAAAGAGATCATGTTTTTTCTTTTAATTAGAGCAATAGTGTGTTAAGGTGTTTCTGAAGTATGTAAATTATTTAGGCATCTATCTTTGGTTTAATAATTGTTACCCTCAGTAGCCTGAACTTCAGTTAAAAGGTAAACATGTCTGATTCATTCTCAGGTAATCTTGACTGGGTGGGTAATGAGTTTTCCCACAATGCCGGAGCTGGTTTAGTTATCAGTCAGTCAGGCGATGAAGATGACGGTAACTCTACAGTGGTCGACCATGTACGAATGGCCTTTGAGAGGGACTGGTTTTCCCTTCACACACACTCACTACAACCCAATAAAATCCCTATTTGCAACAAACTGCAGATAGACAGGCTGGCTCCAGTGAAATTACCACATCATGGCAAGATCAATGACCAAAGGCCTGCACCAATCCGGAAAAAGGAGGGATTTGCAACAAGACGCTTCAGCAACAAATCACTATTAAATACTCACCAAGATGCAACAGGCGGACTCCTTATCGAGAATTACCAGGAACGGGGACAAGCCAAACCCAGTTACCATGACAACAAGAAACTCCATGTGAATGACAAAGACAGTCAGACAGCAGAGAGCAGCGGCAGCAGGGAGAGCTGCCTCCTGTGACCACAAACACTCATATTGGGACAAGCTCTTTGAAGCATTTCCTTACGAATGTTTTATACTGACTAAAACTCACCGTTTGACAAATGTCTTCAGAGAAAGAATGGAAAGCATAATGTGGAGATCTCAGGTAGGATTACAATATCTCCTTTGGAGGTAAGCACTTTGAATGGACAATTACGAACTGAATATTGTGTTTTTGCTGCTATTGTTGTTGTTACTAACAATTCAGTTGGACAAACTGAACAGTGGCCTAATAACAATGATTTGCTATCGCGCAAATAATTGTAATATAGTCACAACATAATTAGGGATGTCACATTTATTGTTAACCTAAGTCATGAAACAAGGCAAATTAATTGATCAGAATCAGTACAACAAAACAACAGAAACACTTAATTGTCTTTGTTTATTTGAAAAGTTGATTCTGAATGAGGCAAAATAAACTGAATATGAAATAAACAGCACAGTACAAGGATGCACTTTACATTCCCCTTTTGAATGTTGTTGGTCTATTGTGTTAAACAGTACATACAATGACATTGTTAACAATTACAAAACATCTTGACATCCCTAATTGCAATAACAGGTTCCAGCAGTTTAATTCTCTACACTGGTCTTTGTGTAGTTTTACATGTCTTGTGGTTGTTAATTGAATTTTTTGAGGATGTTTACAACCTCTGATCCAATCGGATCAAACAGTGGTCTCCAACTGTGAAGTCAGTTAAGGAAAAGAGTTTTTGTATTGCACAATTCATACACAATTGAATTAAAAGTGCAAGTTAAAGGGCATGCTTTTTTCTATTCGTACTTGACATGGTACCAATAGTTCTCTTATATTCAAAATATTTACATATATTCCTTAACGTACCCTCCACACAGTTCTGTTCTTAAAGCAGATTTGGTGTAATAAAAGTCTGCAATCTGGACAAATGGAGGCTATTCCAACGAGGTTAGTCATCTGTCTTGGAAACCTTTTCACATATATACTGAAAATAGCACTATATTGAATGCTCATTTGTGTGTTTTTACAATGTCAATCTATACATGTTTGTTTCATGTATGTCAAAGAAACCATAGATTATATACAGACTGAGATTGTGTAATAATAACGCTTAGATTTTTACACTTTTACATTGACCAAATAGAATTTTTAATCCTCTGCGTTTACTTTACATTTTGAGTTCCTATTCATGGATTTTCCTATTCATGTATTTCAGTTCCGTGTTTGATGCATTTTGATTTTGATGGCTAATCACTTCAGCAACAGTCCTCATCTTTTATCACTCTGCTAGATGTGAAGGGAAAACCAAACAAATATATTGAAAGTTTGAAGTTGGAGCATAAATTTGAAATGGCATTATTGTACTAATATGAACACAACCTATTGAATGCGGAGTCCTTTGTAAAGGCTGATCTAAATAAATCAAATTAATTTAGAGAAAATCATTAGATCAAAGCTCAAGTTTGGATTGAGCCGTCATTTGATGTTATGTAAGTGAAATAATAGCTTACTAAAAAAATAAAAAAATCCTTTTTCATAATTAAGAAAAGGGCACTACACACACTCACTGTGGCAGAATGCTGCCATCTTGTGGATGTTATACGTCACACTCAAACAGCCAACTCCAGGCCTTTGCTTATGTGTGTGTTTTGGGCATTTCATGCAAATATGCGTATGTTTTTCCTGATAAGAAATTGTGAATTACGCCAACTCACAAATAGTTTTCTGAAATGTTGTGATGGCCAGATTTTGTTTTGACAATCAGGGTGTGTGGCCAATGTTTATTCGCCCTGTGTCTGTCTTACTTTGAATAATGAGACAGCTGCTAATGTAAACTGTAAACTGAGCTCTGTTGCTGACTGTTTCAGAAATGCACATGTGCTTTTATGTCGCTAACCTTTATACTGGCATGATAGCCGCTTGCATGCCCTGCACTGCACAGTTTGCGCCTTTTTAGAGATAACTTATATGAACTCCAAGGGAATGTCTGTTGACTTGATAATGCACACATTTTAAAAATATGTTTACGTTTTTACTCTTAATAAAAATACATATCCTTTTTGTGTTGTGGATTTGTGACCGTAAGTGATGACTGATATATACTTATGTAATTCAACTTACAACGTGAAACTAACTTAGTTTCAAAAGTTATATCTCACTCAATACATGGAAAGTGAGATACATCATTTTGTTATAATTTGGACTCACATCTGTAAAAACCCAAAATAAAACATCAGAGAATTGGAATATTTTGAAAATGGACTGTAAGCCATAATCAAAACTATGCATGTAATGGGTACAGGTGAAACACAGAATAAATTAGATTCTATGTTTCACTTGAGTCCGTCAAATAATAACATGATCATCCATCAATAGGCTATTGTACCCGATGATCTTCCAAAACGAGGCAATGTACGAGATCTCACTCTGTAAAATAGTCACAAAACCAATTTTGTTTGTGGCCAAACAACACCACAGATCGTCAAATCAAGCAGGCTACCCCTGCATTACTGTACGTACGCCGCCCTGGCAGTTTTACGTAACGGTCTCTATGGTAACCGCTTAGGCGTCCGCGTAGTTAAACTCATGAGTGCGCAGTTCTGACCACAGGCACAAATAGAGGCCCCACACTGACACTACACACTCTACAGACAAATGATGGACTAAATCGGCTGCGAGGAAACTCCTGCGACGAGTCTCAGCAAGATGAGGGCTCGAACAGCAGTGGACACGACGGATTGAAAAAGCTCCGTGAGCCTTGTTGTCCAACAGCAGCCATCATGGCTGAGGATGACAGCGAGTGGGTTTTGGAGAGCATCGTTGGTTACCTGGGGAGCCCCGAGTGGGTCATTCCTGTCACTGACTTTATGGAAAACAAATGCACAGGTATAGAAGGAACGGCTCATGGTACACTTTCTCACGATACCTTCCTCAGAAGAAGTTAGCTTCTCGGCTAATCATGCTAACATTACATTGGCTAGCTATTTAACGTCACTAAGTGGTACTAAATTGTGTATTCACTGTTGGTTAAACAGCATTTAATTTTAAAAAAAGTTACTAACTAAAGATAATTAGTTAGTTGGCTGTATGTTTGTGCGCCTGACTAGCTGTTGCTAAGCCATGCATTTATGTAGGTATGTATAAATATTAAACGTATAACGCTACTTCTTTCTGCAAACCATTGTATGCGATAAAAATATATATTGTTTATTTCTAACGTCAACATGATGAGCTTGAAACTGCCATTATACAGCCTATAAATGTACAGCCTCTAAATATTTATAAACACGGAGCTAGCGTTAACTTCGTATTTGTTTCAGTTTTTGACGGTGAAGAAGAAAATAAATTGGCATACACTGAAATCCACCAACAATATAAAAAACTTGTAAGTAATTTTATGACACCAAATTAAATTTGTATCTCTTGTACCAAACCACAGTTTTACTTTATTCTGCCTCTTAGGTGGAAAGGCTATTGGAAAATTACATGCAGGAAGTTGGCATTAATGAACAGCAGTTTCTGGATGCATGCACCTCCCCCTTTGCCAAGTCAAAAACTTTGCAGGTATTAATTTCTCACTTTAACGAATACACTATTGGGAATATGGTTGTAACTATTCATTTTGTTTTTGTTAATGGGAGTTGAATGTATTTTACGTCTTGGTAGTACTACTTGGAATAGCTGTGTTAAATGTATTCAACTGAGAAGAGTTTCAGAAATGTTTCTTAAATTTGCATTATCCCCTTTAGTAAGTAAGTATTTTTTGATTATATAGCACATTTAACAAATTAGGGTCACGAGTGTAAGTATTATTTGACTTACATTTTAACACTAATAAAGCATAATAATCAAAGCTTTTGGTTTTTACTACAAATCTCTTAATACATTTTTACTCTGGAATAATTATCTTACTCTGGAGCCTTGTAATGAATACTCCTCTTTTTGTAAAATCTATGGACCGGCTGTGATTGTCATACAGTATAGATATTAAATCAACTATATGTTGTATAAGAAATGTGAACATGTGAGTGTTATGTCCATTTGAAATGGGATATTATTTGGGAAACGTTTTATAAAGCTTTTTTTCCTAAAAATGTTTTTTGTAAAACTCATTAGTTCCATAGGAAAGTCTATGTGCCCCAATAACACTCTCATTTGCATTCATGCTGCATATTAAAAAGAAAACTGGTAAATAGATGGATTTTCTTTACAGATAGTGTTCCAACCTGTTTTGGCTACTGATGACTTCCAGATATTTCGATCATTAATGGTACAGAAAAACATGGAGCTTCAGCTTCAAGCTCTGAGAGTCATGAAGGAGCGAAATGGTAGGTTTTAGAATCACAGTAGTAAAGAATAGGAGTCAGTGTGGTGTCTGTGCACAGGGGAGCTTCCAGAGTGTCTGATGCATGGAGCAGATGTGATGACGGAACTGCAGCAACAGGAGATGAAGATTCTCCACCAGGTTCTACAGTAGGTGCAATTTTAGCATTCTTATAGATGAAAACACATGAACCTAAAGCTTTGATTAAATATAATTACTTATCCTGGTTAAATGAAAGCTATATTCTCTGTGGTTACATTATTTTTGTAAACATGTCAAAGCTATAATTTATATTTCTCTTAATGCATATATTTGTTATTATATTATAAATATGGGGTTATCCAATTGATATGGTATAGACTCCCAACCTACAATGTATACTGCGGGTGTGGGTACGGTGGGTTTGCTCCTCAGAGGCCATCCTGAAAGATATTGTATGCGATGCGGCCTGAGTTATATGTTGGTTGATTAGCTTAGTCTCTCTTTCCACGCTTGGTGCTCAGTGCTGTATCCAAGCCTCACTTCTGAAACATCTTAGGCGGCTGCTTCTTCTCTCTAATGGGATTTAGTTAGTAGCCAGGCCAAGTAGAACACACTGAGTCTAATGGGGCGGCCTTAAGCTCCTTAGGATGCACCCAATTTAGGCTGGAGGGGAATGACACTGAGCAAGCAACTGAGAAAATAGTGTATTGATCCCCTTTGTCTTACCCGGGATACTTGGCAACTAACTCTAATCAGACCTAAGATTCAATTTCCTGTTCTTATACAAGCAATATAAAACAATACACCCAAAAGAACAGTCCAACATTGATATTAGTACTACACTGAAGTCATTGGTTTACAGTGCCATAATGTAAACCATGTACAGACTTCAAAATGGAAGATGTACCTCTCCATTGGAGCAAAGTTAAATTTAACTTGATGAAAGAGATTTGTGTAACTTTCGAGGGTAGTATACTTGTGATAGCTGGCAAAATATGACCTGACAACGTGAATGTCATCCACATTCCAGTCCATCATCTGTAAATAATGGCAAAAGACTGTAATTTCAGAAAGTCAAAGGAAGAGTATGAAGAGGAGATGTCTATCAGGATGCTGTTAGATGAAGAGTCCACATCCAGCAGTAGCTCAGAGAAACCTCTAAGAGAGAGCAGTGAAGTGCAAATGGAAGCCTCCACCTCGAGCCAACAAGACACAGTTGCCAAGGTAAGTCAAGGCATTGTGCCCGGGAAGCCTAGGAGATAATTGTTCCTGAACTTTGTTGTGGAGGGGCAAAGATCTGCCCACTTCAACGCCCGCTATTTTCACAAAAGTAAAAGAAATCCCATACATTTTCTCTGTAGGACCTTCATCAGAGATGACACGCAGTTACAGGATGGGGCCAATCTGACAGGTTGGGCAGATCCGTCAGACTGACCACACTCCCTGTCTCGCTGTGGTCTCTGGAGAAGTGAGCCCCATGTGTGAGCCTCATGGGCCCCCTCGTCTCTGTTAATGGTCCAGGCGCCCCGCTTCCTGATTTCAATTGCCTCTCTGCAATATTTCAGACATTTTGTAATTAACAAAATATCATATAATGATCTACATAAATTGCTTAGTAAATATCAGAAGTGTCATGGATTCACTCTATTTTTGCTAAACGTAGAATTTTTAAATGTGTCATCAATTCTGCCAAGGAAAGTGCTGAGCAGACGGACATTGGTGCTAACTGTCACTTTGACCCAGCTGTAAATGGAAACACTGCCGCTGAATCTGCTATGGTAACAACAGTAGATTTGTTTAAAATTCCAATAGCCCCTTTTCTCATCTCAGAGCGATGAAAAATTAGAACGTAGTTGATAATGCTTCAAGTTTCATCTAATGCTGCTTTCATGTCCTCTGGAAATCTAATTGTGTACATTTGTAAGAACATTAAAATAGTTAAAACTCACTTTATGTTGGCAAACAATGAGTATACGCTACAGTGCCTGCATGCAATTTGCTCAATGAAAAAGTGAGTGGTTTTTCACCTTAAGTCCCACAGTACATAAGCAGCATGAGATCTATCAAGTCAAAAGTGTAGCTTTCTTAGCTGGTCTGTAGCACACTCTGTTGGTGTCTGAGTGTCATGACTTTGGTCTCTGCACAGGTCAGTAGCACATCAGGGTCCTTTGAGGACAGCAAAACAGACAATCAAGACAGAGAAACAGCCCAGAGGTCTTCAAAACACATTTCAGGTAACACACTCCACAAAAACCTAATTATATTTATGATATATTTATTATAAGGTTTGAAGTAGAGCTGGGCGATATGGCAAAAAGTACAATCTCGATTTTACTTCCAGCTTTGGACGATTTTCACTTTTAATTGATTTTCATTAAAGTCACCGAAGACAGACTATGCCCTCAAAAATATGTTTTGATCTTTCCGCTCAATATTCAAGTATCAAAACTATTTTTAATTTGTTTTCCCCGATATGTATTATAAAAGTCTTGCACAGACTGTGCAGATATTGCAAGTATAATTCTTGTGCTGCTGGAACTCTCACAATATCCTTCATTCGATTTTACAATTTTCACATTTTTCACAAATTCGATTTTTTCAAAAGCCGATTAATTGCCTAAATTTGATTTATTGCCCAGCCCTAGTTTGAAGTAAACCAGTCCCCAGGAGCCACTCTGTGATGATGTGACCTGAAAACAGCGCCTGGTGCATAGCATAATTTATGCTCAGCATGACTTCACTTTTATCAGGACTTTTAACAGTAGTGAGGGAATCCCCCTAACCAATGCAAACCGATGATGCTGAAGCTGGTGGTGTGGTCAGGTACCCTGGCAAGTTTTCAAGTGTACACAGGGCATTTTAAAATATCATTACATTAAGAAGAAGATATACTTCAGTTGCTTGTTACTTTACTTACTATATTATTACAACATTATTAAATATTCCATTCATCTGATAATTCTGTTCTGATAATTCACTAGTCACTTTACCTGCTTCTATTATTACTAATATTTATTTTGGTCATATTCTCTGCTGCTAAAGCACCTCATGATGCTGCTAACTACAGTGTATACTCCACAAGTGACTTATCCTTGAACCAAGTGCAATTAAAGCTCAAAAGTTTTATTTTATTGTGTATTATTTTTTTGTAATCTATACATAGTTCCTACATGACGTCACTACATACGGGGATTTGCCGACCCGGCGCCATTTGTGTTGGCATTCTGTGGGCAAAACAATAGAAAAAGAAGCTGAAACGTGTTAATGTCGTGATAAAGTTGAAAATGGTCATCTCCTGCTGGGTCAATGGATGTTCAAATCGTGCCGGAGGTTCTGTTAAACTTGGATTTTACAGTATACCCATCATTAGACTTCATGAATGTGAGAAGACTAAGCTTTTGTCAGAACAACCACGGAGGTTATGGCTTGCGAAGATAAACAGGCAAGAAACTCCCTCAAAACACGCAAGAATATGCTCGGAGCACTTTGTGTCAGGTGCGTATCGTATCTTATAATGTGTTGACAGACGTAATTTACTCAGTACTAACTTGTGTATGCTGATAGCTGGTAACTTGAGAGTTTCATTATTTAGATTACTTTATTATGAGGAGGATCGGTGTCGCGTCCGAGGCTCTCGAGGGCAACGTAAATGTATTAAATAGATAATAATAGTTCTATGGTGGGCTAAAACAATGTTCACAAACAGCATTGCTTCTGTAAAAAGATCTGTGTCATAAAATAAACTGCTCTTTACGCCTGGAAAAATCAGTTGCCCACCATTCACCAAAACATAGGGTCAAAAACGCGGAAATAAACAATAACAGCAATCCAGAGTGTCCGTGTGGCATTAGCATTAATTAAATTAATTGTTAATATAATTAAAATAATTAAATGGAGCTCCAACTGGTATTAAATCTAAAGTTTTTGAGAAATGTTTGCATTGCTTGTTAATTTTTGCTGCATAATTTGATCAAATATGTAAAACATGTCCGTAGCACGTTAAACTGTGGTGCCATTGTATTAATATACAATTATTTGCTCAAAAGTTGCCCTTTTTTTCCAATTTGCGTTTGAATATCTACATTTATTCTCATTCTTCTGTTTAATGGAATGCACAAACACAGCAGCGTGCCATCAAAGATGGCGTCTCCGAGGAGGTCCTGTGACATTCATTGGTCTGTGGGAACTATGTATTATCTTAAATAATAGATCCTGTTTTATGTGTGCAACCTGAGTGCTCTTTTTCCTTTAATGTGCCTACTGATATTGAAATTTCCAATGTGTGACAAATAAAAGTTTCTGTTATATTATCTTCTCCTATCTATCAAATGTAGAATCTACCAATGGTATGGATCCAATTGTCCTTCCAGCCGTAAGAGCCCCAGTGAAGACTAGTTTGTGCCTAGCCAGCATCAGTCCTACCTCCAAAGAGCTGGAAGAAGCAAAGTTGGAGGCTGGTATCTCGGAACCATATTCAGTATGTTTTTTTTGTACAATAGATGCAACATCCAACAACTTCTTAAGATGTTTGTTTAATTTATTTTGTTTTGATCAATGCCTCAATATCACTGACCATATGAATATAACCTGTTGCATGGGTGTGTGGTTCACAGGAGCTGCCAGAGTTGGAGCAGCAGCAGCTTCTGCAAAGAGCCTCTTACCTCCGTCAGCAGAGAGACCGACTCCATGCTTTGAAGAAGGAGCAGCAGAAAAGCAAGCACAGCAGTCCAGCAGAAGAGGCGCCATCCAGGCCAGCACTTCCCACAGCTCCGGTATTTTACATCGCTCTTCACACAAGTTTTTTAGCCCGACAGTTCAACCTTACTGTTTTTGTCACAACAGTTTAGTTCACTTTAATAAGGGCTAAAGGCGGGCTGAATACTTTTGCCTACTACTTGTTTACTACTCACTCAAAAGATATATACAATACAACTAGTGTCCTACAAGATGATATAAAGATGAATGAAAATTATGGTAGCCATTTTGTTGCTACAACCACTATTTAAAACAATTTAATTATAAAATTGACGGAATGAGCTTTGCAGAAGTTTGTTGTGGATTTTCAGATGTCCACATTTGATGAACAGATTCTATTTTATTTTTTTACACAAAGTAGAAACAAAGTGATACTTTCATATAATAAACCAATTAAATGTGAAACCAGACCAGATTTTTTTTTCTCAAGTTTAATTGTTAGAGAAAAGAGGACGGAAACCATCACATCCGTTAAAATTTTTTTTTTTACGATTCCTTTTTAAAATCAAGTGATTTAATGTTGTGTTAGCCATGGTAATCTTTAGGGATTTTATCTTCCGCTTTTTCAGACTGATGACATTTCATTTTCTATGTCACTAGCGTCACAGTAGAATGGTCAAATCAGAGACTGATTTGGTCGTTTATGTCAAAATAATATTTGTCAATCTTTCCTTTTGATTTTATCCACACTATTTGATTTGTATGTGTTTGAAATATTTGTTTCCAATCTATGAAAGTAATTTTTGTTTTTGAGTTATAACCTCTCATAGTCCATATACTTTAAGTGACCACTCATGTTCTGATTCATTTTTGTTTTGTCTGTCCAAAAGGAGATCTCTACCGAGGAGAAAAAGAGGCTACAGAAACGAAAACACCTTGCAGAAAAGTTGAAAGAAGAAGTAATAAAGAAATGACCTCCCTTCTGCTGTATTTAACTACAATCAAATATCGTGACACCGCTTCCTTTCAAGACTAAGTTTGTGCACACTACTGCTGTAAAGCAGTTTTATAATGCAAAAGGTCAGTGTCGATTATACCAAAATAAGTGCATTACCTGGGAGCACGTGGACGTCACTCGAAGAGCAAAAACCCGACCACAGTGAAACCCCCGTTTCCTTTAATGTTCTACTTATGCATAATGGAATAATGCAGTCTCATAATGCACTTTTCTGTTTTGTCATTTAATTGTAGTTTGATATGCAGGTAAAAGAAATATGTTCATGTTGGGTTTTTTGATCAGTTGATAAACATGTGTTGCACAGTAGTTTAATTTCCCTCCGGCTCTTAGTACACAGTATCACAGACACTGGTCTGGTGAGGCATGTATTCATTGTTTAATAAATTATGTATGACTGACCTATGAGACATGGAATGGTATAAATTGGGTATAGGCAATAATATAAATCTTGAATTAAGACTTTCTGCCACCAGTTTGCATGAAATGTTTCACAGTATTGTATTTAATGGTTTACACTAGCTAAACCTTTGCTTGCCCCTTGGAGAAATAATTTTATTGTAATGCGCCACACTATGTCAACGTATTGATAACCAAAACCATGCACTCCACAACTTGTTAGATACTATAACTTTTACTTTGTCTCAAATCAAATACTTCATTTTTTTCACATTGAAATAAAAACTGACAAAAAGAGTCATTCAAGTTGGCTGCAAAAATTACTTTACTGCAGTTGGTTAAGTTTTTTTTTTTTTAAAAAACAGCAATTCCTCTCAATTTTACACTAATCAAATTAATTTTGAAAGGGTGAAATTAGTGACCAGACCTTGTGTATGTATAACAAAAAGACACAGGTAGGCAGCATGTCCCCCTCTCCAAATCAGGTAATGTGAAATTATTAAAAAGGAAATAATCTGTACAATCTTTTAACAAAGTGAAAGTTCTGGCCAACACAGTCCTTTGTGAATGGTGTGCCCCAGCTAAAACAATGGTTAAGAGTCCTGTTAACTTGAAACAAAGCTTATGTCTTTTGGCTCAAGCCTTTTCGGGTCTTCACCTGAATTATTGTGGACAGCTGCTTTAATCAGTCAAGCTTCAGACCTTTTTTGGCGAGTCCTGCTAGCCTGATTGGCTCTGATCACAATGCATTCACTTGTTTGTCCTCTTTAACCCATAGAATTCATTGAACAGGTTTTTGAGAGAGAGTACAAGACTTGTGATAAAGACAAGGGGTGATCGGTCCACAGCTGGTAAACTGCTGTTGCTATAGCAACAGAGTATGGGTAGAACCATATTGGCATTGACAATTCAGCAGTCTGGTCAGGAGTTTGAGATTGAAGCGGAAACATGGTGAGTAATGAAAACCCATGGCATGTGACACGGCCACACTCAAATAGCAAACGCTCAATGAAAAGTAGTCACTAAAACAAGGAGTCCATTCCTTGATTATTGGATAAAGAAAATGCATTATTTCCAAGGTGGTCGTCCAATATCCATTTCCCACAACAGTGAGTTGAGAGAAGGGCAAACCGAAGGAGTCTTTCCTCATCTCCAGATACTGCCAGAAGACAAAGGCTGGTCCAGGACCCTAGGTTTGGCAGAGAGGTTCTCTCCATCAAACTCCACTGCACAGAAGTCAATAGTTTTACGAGCTGAGACGTGGCCGCTTTCTTGCAGACTGCTCTTCTTCCTCCTCTTCCTCCTCGTCATCTTCATCGTCTGGGTAATCCACCAAACCAACCATTGCTGTCTAAAAAGGAAATGACAAATTATTAAAAACATTTACAATTTAAAGTTGTCCATCATTCATAAGGCACACCGGATTATTAATGAGGTGCATTCATTTATGTTGGTTTAGATGTAAACTAAAGGCACAATGCAATACGAACGCCATTTTTACCTCAATTTTGAAGTGAAACAACACTAGATAATTGGGAAAATCAAACATTACTTCAATTAATTTCCTAGTATAAATCCTATTAACTTACCTCAATGTTTCAGTTGTAACATTTAAACAAAACTATTGAAATGAAAAAATGAAAGCAGCTGCAATTGTTCAATTTCATAATTACATTACAATGTTCAACTAACTGCGAGACCAATAGCCTTTAGCTTAAAATCCGTTTCGTTGCACGTCTCTTAGGGTGTATTCAGACCAGTGGGGGAGGGTCCCAGCTCAAAAGTGGCCAAAATGACGTGCGCTGACATGCTGCAATACCACCCCGGGCCGATGGGGGTGGACCCAGAAGTAGAATTAGCCAATGCTAACATATAGCATTGGCAGACCTCTCAAAAATGTCTTTACAGGATGGACCAAAAGTTGGCTCTTGGCCCAAAGCTCCGTTCCACATGTGTGTCAATGCTGAGGGGGGGTGGATTTTTTTGGTCCACTCTAGTTTACTTGTGTGAATTTTTTAAGTCTCTCGTTCAAATGAATGGAGCTGCGCTGGCTGACGCATGCGCAGATGCGTTTTTTCACAATTTTCTTGTGGGCGGGACCACTCCCGGCCATTTTGGATTGCTCCAGTAGAGCACATTTTTTGGCCCATTAGTTAGAACGGCAGAGATAGGCGTGACTCTGTCCATTAATATATACAGTCTATGATTCAGACCTGCACTTTTGGTTCACTTTAAACGGACTTTTTAAGGCTTCCAAACAAACTCAGGTCCGCGTCGATTCAGGTCTGAATACAACCGGTGGTGTTCCGACAACTCCAGGATACGAGCACATTTTTTGGGCTTAACAAGCCACCGTAGACAGGAACTGTGAAGAATTAGCAGCTGTGACGCGTGGCTAACGCATGCTACACAACAACGAGCCGTGGGTAGACCTGGAGCAACGAGGAGACCTTGAAATTTGGACAAAGGCACATATAACCCAACTTCTGGAAAAGACACACAAAAATGCGGTCGTGTTAAACATCCGCTTTTGGTTTGGACCAGGTGGGGGACCAGCTGACATGCTTGCAATACCACCCCAGGCAGATGGTGGACCCGGAATAAGAATTAGCCAATGCTAACCTCCCAAACGTCTTTACAGGATGGTCCAAAAGCTGGCTCTTGGTGCAAAGCTCCGTTCCACATGGGTGTCAATGCTGAGGGGGGTGATTTTTTTTGGACCACTCTAGTATACTTGCTGTGAATTTTTGAAGTATCTCGTTCAAATGAACGGAGCTCTCACCGGCTGACACGTGCGCAGATGCGTTTTTTCACAATTTTCTTGTGGGCGGGACCACTTGCGGCCATTTCGGATGGCTCCAGTAGAGCACATTTTTTGGCCCATTTGTTTGAACGGCGGAGATAGGTGACTACGTCCATTATTTTTTACAGTCTATGGTTTGGACCAAGCAAGCAGATCAAAGACTTTTCTGGTCTGAATACACCTTTACTGTTACTTAAAGCTGCACTAACTGACTTTATTTTGGTATTCATTACGAAAATGCTATCCATGTCCATGTAGTGCATTGGGATATACGTCCTTTTGAAGAATAATTAGCGCAGATTTGTGCTGGCGTGACATTATATTTTAGATCGAGTTTTGATGAAACAAGGAAGAGAATGTGTTTCGGGTCGCAGATTGTGACCAATCACAACGGACCACTGGCCCCCACTTTTGTGAGAAATCTACAGGTCCGTTAGCATAGACGGCTGAGTTAGCACAACAAGCCGAGGAGCTAACCTGAAGCTTCGTGTGTCTTCATCACCGGTTACTGCTTACACAGCGAGACAGCCATCCAAAAGAAAGTCCCATTCCTCCGCGCTTCCCGGTTCTATCGTTTTATGGTCACGCCATCCACGTGCAAATCCATATTCATGTATTATCCATATTGGGAGACACTAGCTCCGTCCCAACAGTGAGTGTGTGTGGGGGGCGATAGCTTCGTGGGTGCGGGGAGGGGAGCAGAAAGAGCGAGGCCAGCGAGTCCACGGCTTCAAAATCCCAAAGTCAGTTAGTGCAGCTTTAAGTCGCTTCATTAGGTGCCATTTTGGGGTCCATTAGACCAATAGTAATATTAGGCAAATGTACCAGTATTAATGAGGGACCAAAAAAATGTATGTGTAGCACTAGCTAATTGTGGTGATTTGTCGGTACGTACGAGCCGGAAGGTTTGTTGTTTCATCTGGACTATTTAAGAGGACCGACTTGCATTTGTGTTTTTTTACAAACACGAGTGGAAAAAAATTTGAGCTCCCGCAATTAGTTGTACCCACACCCATTGACTGAGACCAGCACAAAGGTGTTGGTCTTAGTCTTTTATGTGGTTTGAAGTGGTGCACATTTCTATTGTTGGGCAAGTGCAATTGAAGTCAAATGTATTGTATGCCCGAGGCGGCAGATAGCAAGGTCTAAACACAGCCAGAAATGGATACATAGGGCACCCCGGAATAATGTGCACTGTTAAAAGTAAAGGCTTTTATCTGCAAGTAATAGAGCAAAAAATACAGTATTCTGACCTTGACAACTGGTGACGCAGGAAGAGCCACAGTCTTCACAGAGGACGTTGAACTGCTCACACTAACTGCGGGAGAAGACGGCGGGACAGGAGATGATTTCCCATTGTTATTGGCACTGTTTGCTCCATTAGCTGCTCCTACAATTGTTTAAAAAAATAAAAATAACAATGCAAATAAAAGCAGGAACTATTAAGAGCTTTGGAGAAGTGACTTGCCTTTCTTGGCCTCCATGTACTTGCCATAACTGTCGGAGAACTCCTCTTCCATGCGACCTTTATCCACAGTTTCACCATCTTCGTCATCTTCATCATCATTAAACCACAACTCCTCGTCTTCATCCATTGACCTGGCATCCCGGCGGTACCTGACCAATAAGAAAAACAAGTTGTAAAATGTTCTTATGACCCCCCCCACATCACATCAGTTACGAACCTGTTGAGCCTCTGGCTTTGTCGATCTTTCTCTTGTTCATAGCGGCCTTTTAGGCCTTTAAATGTTTGAACGTACTCAATGGACTCAAGTGCTTTGTAAAAGTTATCCACAATGTGAGCAATCAAAGACTTTATGTCCTCCTGATGACAATATAGCAAGCATGAATTAATGTAAAATTACATATTTTAAAAATAATATACATACCACTTTAATAAACTCAAAGAGCTCGATGATCGCAGAGTTAAGCAGGTTGTAACGAGTACCATTGTCCAAGAGGGCATTAATTACAGGTTCAAACAAGTTTCCTTTAATGATGTAGCGGTTGTAATACTCATCTTTAAGGCCAATGATTCTGCGCATAAAACGCAGTGCACCTAGGAAATATTTTGTACATACATTAAAATGGTAAATTCCAAGTGGAAACACCTCTACACGTCCAATGTGTGGACTTACAAAGTGCTAGAAAGGTGTGCTTTGAATTCATGAGCACCAATACTCTCCTGAGCAGATCTTTGTTCATGATGTATGTCTTTATGTGATACGTGTGGTGCTCCACACAGAACGTTAGGAGCTCCAAGATTAGAGCCAGCAGCTGCGCTGTCTGGAAGTTATCTACACACAAGACCAACAAATGAGTACAAAGAGAAAACAAAAAAAAAGAAAAATACTCACCCGGACAGACTGGATTCATTTTAGTAGTTCCATCTTGTAGATCTGGAATCATTTGTAATTAAAAATACAAATATAAGTACCACCCAATTACATTTCTGAGGAAGTTACCTTTTGGGTTTTTGTCATGTGCCGTGTTTGCCAGAAGAGGAGCAGTCAGTACATGCATGCAGTATTTGTAGAAAAAACTCAAGAACTCTGTCTTCTCAGTTTTCTATTCAAAACACCACAAATTAGACAGAGTAGACTCCAACATTAGGTCAACGTGTCGAGGCTTTGTACATTTGTGGACGCAAGCATGTTCTCTGGGTCGATGAGTGTCCTGAGCAAACCCATTAACTGAACAGCACCTCCTAACTCTGGATCAGAGTCACAAATCATCTGCTTGATGACTACATTTATAAGAAGAACGTCCTGTAAAGACATAGATGCAAGTTTAACACAGATTCTTCTAATTCTAAGATTTAACAACAACTCACATCATCCGTTTGCTGAGGCTCCTGCATTACAAATTCTCTGACCATGGAAGGACTAAATTCAACCAGATAGGAGAAGATATCTGTTGCTGCTGCTCTGACCTGAAGATCATCCATTCCCTGTTGACCAAACGGGCATTAATACATTTTACGGCTGACAATGCAAGTGCTTTCTAATAGAGCAAACTGACCATGACAATTTCAAGGGCTGGCAAAATTCCAAGATTTGCCAGTGTTTTAAAGAAAGCATCCCTGTTCTGCGGTTGCAATGTTTGTGAAAACGCACAGAATTCCTTCACAAAATTAACCTGAAAAGAGAAAAACAAATTGACTATTTGGTAATCGCAGGCTATACAATATCAAATTACATTTAGTGGGGGGGGGGGGGGGGTTGTTGTGGTAGGATGTTGTGAATGCAGCAAGCCGTTAAACTAGCTCTGCAACAGTAAAATTGATGACAAAACTCATTTGAAGAGGAAACTAAACAACACACTGATGAAAACATTGCAACTCACAAGTTCTCTTCGTTTACCGTCTTCGGTAGCTTCATCAGTTAATTGGGCAAAAACTTCTGTTAAAAACTTCTCATCCTCCTTTGGAATATATACATTACACATTATAGATTTTAACCATTTAATCTGGGATAAAATCTTAAACCATTAGATCTAAAAATGAATCAACCATACTATACTTTAGAACCAATCCTTATAAACCACTGGGCAGTATGCATACCTGCAACATGCTCACAATCTCCACCTTGTTGAAAAAGATGAAAGATGTGAGGGTAGAGAGAAAGTTTTCTTCAAAGACAGAAGGTGTGGGTAGGATGATGTCCTGGATGTATTGCACCCGATATGTTTGATGGATCTTTTGCCGAAGTTCTGAGTCTGTGATGGGGATGACTTCTTTAAACTTTGCGGTCTTAGTCAGGAACTCCCTATGGCGTTTTGGCTGTACAAGTGCTGGGTCATACTCAAGGCAGCCAACAACATCCATGATACAGTCATCAGAGAACATCACTTCAAAAAGTGCAGCTTTATTGAGAAACAAAACGCCTCTGACGATTTCGTACAGGTGGTGAAGGCCTTCCCTGTTGTCAAGGTCCTCACAAACACGGAAGAGCCCAAGCAGCTTCTTGATGTAGCCTTCAGTCATCAAAGCCAGGGCCAATTTCTCTCTTCTAATTGGTGATGACAGAACAGAAGTGACCAAGTCAGCAATCTCCTCCAGTCGTCCCAACTCACAGGGAGGAAGCTCCACTAGGTGGCTGGTCTCGGGGATCTCGTCAAAGCGCTCCTCTTCAGATTCATCGATTGGGTCTTGTGTTATATCCAGAGCTGGGTCTTTTCCTTGCACCTTGTTAATGAATGAATCAAAGTGGTTAGAACATTACATACATTCTTGTAAAAAAATCAAAACATTAAAAGTTACCTGACATATTTTCTCCCAAATCTCATCACAGCCTGCCTTTTCTTGAAAGCTAAGAGCAAGGTCATAGTTGTCTGCTTCTGACCACACAATCAGAGTGTCCTATGAATAAAAAAATATATGTCAATAAATACGTAATTCTTCCATTTTAAACTGGTTTGTCTTATCCATAAAACGGGTCTCAAACCCAATGGAAAAAATAGGGATAGATATTCCGGCGTTAATACCTGTTGTTTTTGGTAAGCTGTATTGGGACTTATTTTTGACTCGAGCAGAAGTGAACCTGAAAACAAATGTCAGTGACAGGTTAGTTTCTTTTACATGAGTTGCATCAAATCCATGAGGCAAAGAAACTAAGAAAACGTACAATTAATCGAATGGCTTGTGCAAGTTTACACGATCCCAACATTGAGGGGAAGGTCCGTATCTTTATACTGTTATTTTGGTGTATAAAACACAAATAGAGACATACAAAAGTATATGACTTTTATCAGTCTTTTTGGGGCGCCATGCAACATTCGCGGAGATGAGGACATGGCTATTGAGGAAAACAAACTAAAGCAGCAACTCACATCACTGTGTGATCAACACAAACCTCAGTTAAGCACAATTGAAGCACACTAAATCAAAAAACGTGATACAGGTTATGTAGAACTGTTCCTCCAGCCATCGCCAAGCGAAGCTACACTAGCACACGGAGAGCTTAGCATCTATGTAGCTACATGCTAGTTTACAACTTACCGTCAGATTCTGCTCGCACCAATAACGATGTCCCTTTCAGCCGCTCTACAATGGATGAAGAAACGTGCCCAGTCCCTCGATCGTCCCACTGACGGTCCTCGTTTAGCGTATACACTTTTACTCTCCGCCGAGTGTCCGACATGGCTAACCGTGTGGCAGCTAGCACGCTAGCTGGCTGCTAACTTGCTAACACCTTTTGCCTCACTGTTTTCTATCCTCGATCAGTTAACTTTGTTTTCACTTGCATGTTAATACACGCACCTCTGGGGGAAACTAATACAAACAAATAATTGTGGACGTTTTTTACAAAACCATAACATTAAAAAAAGATTAATAACGGTTCACGTAAAACGAAATGTAAAAACCAAGGAACACAACAACTCCAACGGCCTGTCCGCTAGCGTCCACAGCCCGCCATCTTGTGTCCACTGTGTTCTTTTCTTCTACGACGTCAACCAGACGCACAGCCGCGTGCTCCACCTCCGGGCCCCACGAGCCAATCAGAGCTGAATTTCAGTTTACCTCCAGCTGCTGCTGTGAGCGCCACCGAGCGGCTTCATCACAGACAAAACGAACACTTATTAATTAAGAGAGACCTTCTCCTGTATGGGCCTGTGAGAACAAACAACCCAAACCATGGACCACTTTACTGGATGTTATTTTTCCTACACCGTTTCCCTTAGTATAAGTTGGATTTGTCTTTCCAGCAGCAAAAAGAAGAACACTTGAAAATAGAATATGAATAGTTTTATTTACACATAACACAAACATAATGGTTCCATTAAAATATATTTGCGTGAATGAGTGGCATTAACAATTATATACAGGATAATTTACATTTATGTACTGACATATTTCATCTAGAATTATATTTCTATTGTGGAGGAAATAAAACAACAATTTGACACTTACAGTTCAACTCCCACAAACTTCCAAAGCATAATCAAGCTAAAGACTAAACACAGTGATTTTTGTTTTTAATTTTTCGCAGCTGTAGCGACTTTGTTAAAAATCTGTTGTTTTGGAGTCGTTTTCTAATGGACTACTGCTCTTGGCCACAGAGATACTTTGTTTTTCACTCAATGTTTTAACAACTGTTGCTGCAGGAGACTGAAGGACCTTCCGAGAAAGCCTCATCCTGCCATCCGTGGGATCTCGTCCAAAATACTTGACCTGTTACAACAATCATTTTGGTGAACAATTTTCACAAAATGACTTTTAAAAAGTGCATTACAGGATACCTGGATCTGTTGTCCCACGTCGAGCCCAAGTGCAGTTGGATGCTTTATCTATAACAAGATCGGAACATTTCTACATTTATAAAAACTTAACAAAAATATAAATTAAAACATTAAAAAAATCTCCCTTACTCGCTTGTGATCCAGCTGTGAGTTGTGAAGCAAGACAGCACTCATATTTGGATAGAGTTTAACCATAACACCAATGTCCCTGCAATACACATGATTATCAAAACTTAAGCAGCTTCACAAAACACCATGTTGTTTGTGGATTTTTACCTTATTTCAATAATGGTAGCAGTGTAGACAGCTCCAAACTCCAACTGTTGTTCTTGCTATGATAGAGTAAATCCATTTTATATTGATAAACAATGAGAATTGAATGTCTAAAGATTATTGTGGTTTACATCATCCTTGCAGACTTCAGTGATAAACTCTTGAGCTTCATGCATTGCACCTGGTGTTGGTGCAAATACTGAAAATGTCTCTTCGTCCATTTGACTGATAGTAACACCTAAATACAGAAACAATGCAGACTTAAGGGTCTTTTCAAAATAATGTTTTATTTTGTAATACCTAACAAATACCTGTTTGTGCCTGCAGCCGTCGAAGGTTATATCCTCCTGGTCCAACAAATCTAGCTCTTCTGGAGACAGGTACTCTCACATTTTCTGGAAAACATAGTAAGATATCCATCATAAAAAAACTTAAGATTTTAGTTGGTTTGAGTTATGCAACACAAAATCTTACCGACAACAGGCCCATTGTCTTTTCTTTTCTCCCTAGGTTTGGCTATACATTTGTTCATTATTCCCAAGATTTCCCTTTTTGCAACTAGAAAATGCACAGCATAAATGTATAAGCATAGTAAACAACCAAATAAGCTGATAAAATAAAAATGTAACTAATGTATAACTAAGGAATCACCTGTTCCTTGTTGAATTGCCTCCATCACCACTTTCAGAGGCAGTCCGGGAATTTTCACATCTGCCTTTGGATGTAAATAAAAATACAAGTAAAAATATCACAATTGTCTTTATTCTTTTAATCTTAGTATCAACTACCTGTAAGGCGGTAATGCCTTTGTTTGTTCCAGCCAGTTTAAAGTCCATATCTCCAAGGTAGTCCTCAATCCCCTGCACAGATTTACAACCCTCAGGCAAGTGTACTGACAAAGACATAATAGTTTCAGAACTGTAGCATACAAGAATGTCCGTTAGCAATCTGTAGTCGTCAATTTCAGTGTGTTTCTCAGGGTGATGTTTTGATATCAGTCCAATGGCTACACCAGCCACAGCAGAAGAAATGGGCACACCTGTGGAACGGAATATTGAAAATATTCACAATTCACAAATAACTGTTAAGCTTTACAAACTCTTTATTTTCAATGAAAAACTACCTGCATCCATCAAAGCAAGACTACCACTACATGCAGAAGCCATTGATGAAGAACCTGAAAAAGTTTTCATAGAAAAAATACAAATAAAAAAATAAATTATAAATGGTGTACATTTATTTAATTGTTGAATTGTTTGACAACTTACCATTGGACTCAAGCACCTCTGCCGTAACTCGAACTGTGAAGGGGAAACCTTTAGGAACCACTGGGCGTAATGCTTTTTCAGCCAGGGCCCCTAACATTATGATCACACAATTCATTAGAACCCACAGAGCCAAAGATTATCCAGTGCCAAAAAGTGTAAATGCAAAGAAGCACCCACCATGGCCGAGCTCTCTTCTGTTGAGCCCCCCAGTCCTTCCAATCTCATTGGTTGCATATGGTGGAAACTGTAAAAGTCAAAACAAATGCACTTTTTGTAATGACAAGTTGATGGTATCTACAATGTAAGTGAGCATGAAGGAATTTACCTCATAATGGAGCATAAAATTCTTATCTTTAATTCCACTGAAGATAAAGCAAAGCAAACAAAACGTAACACAAAATAAAACAACAGATTATTATAAAGAAAAATAGACAGCAAAGATACCTTAAAGCTGTAGTGATGAGGTCAGGTTTTACACTTGACTCTAAGGAATCAAAAGTGACACTGCAAAGGACCTACAGTATATGAAAGATTCACATTTAGCATTACAGTCTGTGCAATGTATAACTGCATTGTCTGACTTTCCCGTACCTGTGTCTGGCCCCTTTGGAATAGAGCAGAACCATGAAGTGGTTGAAACAAGTCAACATCACAAGAAATATTTCTAAGAGCTGCCAAATCTCTCCCATCACACCTCGGGGAGAAATTAAATAATGATTAATTTAAATGTCTCATCTTCTATGTCAGAAAAAGTATTACCTCTGATATTCATTCAAAATCAAATTACGAAATATGTCTTTTGTCACAACATTAAAAGATTCTAGAATTTCAAATGGCTCGGCTTGTGGAAACCGTTCTGTAAAAGAAGACGTGTCATGATATAGAAATGTAATGTCTTTACTGCTAATCATTTGTAGTACATGCCCTTTAGGATCTCTACGGTCTCAAGACGGACTTTGTTTATTGCTTCATCCCTTGAAATCTAAAACATAAAATATGGAGAAATGACATTGCTCAAACAGTCTATGACAAATTGGATTCACCTTATCATGGCTATGGTCTCTAAAAACAGCATCAATTCTTTGAGATGAAATTCTAAAAAAAGAAAGTGTTAATGTAAATTTGGAAATCTGTTTATTTATAAGTTGGTAAAATGTTTGTACAGAGTAGAATGGACTCTTACTGTTGCACTTGTTCCACCATTTCATCAGGTGCAGTGAAGAGTTTCACAGGGACACGTTTGGAAACTTTCTGCTCTCTTGCCATCTGTTGGATTGCGTGAATGATCTGTTGCGTGTGTTTAACTCCCACTTTGACAGCATGGCAAAAGTCCTGCTGCAGAATATTCTCTGCGGAGGCCTCAATCATCACTACGACAAAACGAATAAATGGGGCGAAACCAGCATGAATTCTGCTTTCATGCAATTTGATAATTTCCAGATAATTTTTCAAGACTCAAAATGTATCGTACCTACTTGACTGCTCGGAGCTCCAGCCACAATGAGGTTAAGAGTGCTGGAAGTCATCTCTGCCCGTGTCGGGTTGATCAATATTTCCCCATTGATCATGCCTACTCGCACAGCACCTACTCACACAAAGCTAAACTGAAGAGATAGCGGCGAAAAAAAGTGAAGTTGCACGTTTTTTTCCCCTCACCAATAGGCCCGTTCCATGGTATGTCAGACAGTGCCAAAGCAGCAGAAGCTATAAAAAATAATACAACTAATAAGTAAAGGAGATCTGTTATAATGTCTTTTTAAAATGCATGTACCTCCATTTATAGCTAACACATCAGGATCATTGACACCATCAACAGCCAGCAGATTGCAGAGGATCTGAAAAATCAAAATGTACGTGTATGTTAGTTAGACAAAAAGGGAGGGAAAAAAACCTGCATTCACGCACACAACATGAAGCTTACTTGTGTATCATAAAAGTAACCAGCTGGAAAAAGTGGTCTAACAGAGCGATCTGAAATGAGACAAGTCATTTACAACATACCAGACAAATCCCAATGCATAATATACTATAATATACCTATTAATCTGCTGGTTAGTATTTCATTATCTGTAGTTCCAAGCTCTCGTCTCAAATAGTTGGTAGGGATTCTTCCTGCAGCTGCGGCTTTCTGTCTGTAGTCTACCTAAACATGGCATGAAATAGCATATAAATGTTAAACGTGAGCAAATAAAATGTATATGTATAATTGATCAATTTGTGTGACATAATCTGATACATACCACAAGAGGCATAAATTGAGATGGGGATGGCTTGGCTTTGCTTACAGCTGTTACCATTACAGAGGTATCCCCAAGCTGTTGTTGGAGAGACAGACAATGTTAAGAAAGGTCAAATCTATGTTTGAACTATGAAAAGCAATGACAATATACTAATATGACTACAGCATGCTGGCTTGTCTTGTACCTGTACAACAGCAGACCCATCAGCAAATCTGGCAAATCTCCCAGAGGATATCTCAAGTTTCCTACGATATGTGAAATGCAGATAATACAGTGCAGATAATAATATGAAAACAGAGACAGTACACGTGTTTACCAATAATAAGACACTCACTTCTCGCCAAGGTCCACAATGGTCTTTCTGTGATGCGAGTGGCTACTGTACACACTCTGGTGACATGAGCGGACATAGGGACGGGCAAACACTGGCCCGAGCCGCAGTAAGTATTTCATATGTGCTATGTAGAAGGCAGAAATATGACGAATCTGTACACCCTGTGAATGAGTTCAGAGTTTCGTTTCACGCGAGGAGGCTTCCATGACAGTCACGTGTGCGGAAGTACGTCGTAAGGCAAGACTCGTGATTGGTTCAACAAACAGAGAGAAAATCCACAAAGTCAAAGCGATGAGAAAAAGTGTGTGTCTTTAGGTTTCTTTTAGTGTGTTTCTTTCTTTACTTTACAAAACTACGTGGAGAAAGGTAAAGACATATGCAACTAAATGATGTAAAAATATAAGCTATCACTAGATGTCACTGTTGTCATTAACAGGAGTGTGTCACTTTTATCTCTGTGCAGCACTTTGGAAACTTGTGTTATAAAATGTGCTATATACATGAAGTGGATTGGATTGGATTAAGCATACGTGTTTCAAGAGTATAAACAGTATTTGTAGAAAGTACTGTAGCCTGACAAACTAAATAACCACCAGACTCGCTAAAAAATATATTTTTAAGAACAATTGATTCATTAATTCATGTATCTCTACTTTACAGTATGTCGTTTTATGCAGTTTTTACGCAGTAGGAAGACTCTTGCTAGTCCATAGTCCACCAGTACAAAGGGATAAAGAATTCTATGGTTGTCTTAGCAACAGATGAGCACTAACACAGCATTTAACACAGTACTTTTGGAACATTACACAATCTCATCTAATAGTTTTGTAGATTTCACAAGCAAACACATGACACAGACCCCCAGGCTCATTGTCACTGGATAATAGGTTACTTAATGAAGCATATTGTTTTTATGGCTCCAGGACACATTTTATTAATTGAAAACAGGGTTCTTGGCTATAGTGTCTTAGTGCGGCATAACTTGACTGAGAGTTGTTTTTTATATGTTTTAATTTTACAGCGTAAATAAAAAGGAAAATAGTTAAGCCTTTCTCTTCCATTGGCCTTGTACATCTGGATTCTACTTCAGTTTACTTTAGTACTTTTGTTTTTTGGATTGTAATGATGAACAGCATGCTACAATGAGTTTTTTCTGACTCACTCACACCAAAAGGTTGTTAAAACTCCTAACTGACCTTTGCCAACATGAGTTTCATTTAGGAATGCAGTGGTGGTCTTTGAGTCACACTAAGACAATTTTGTCAAGGAAGTATTGGGCTCACCTAAAATTTTGATATTTGCAAATCCATGTTGTATCTGTTTAATTTATAGTAGTAAATTTGCTTAAGTCAATTGTATTTCTCCAGTATATTAATTTTCTGTTCTATAGTTGTCAAACACGTTGAGCAGAAAAACAAGCCACAACAAGTGCAGTATTGTCAGATCGAAGCTTATATAGCCCCAAGCTGGCGCCCCACAACAACTGCCATAATGCAAATAAGAACACATTTAACTAAGGATGTGTTTGCTTTTTAGACCCGTGTCTCCAGAAGGGTTTATTGTGTTTCCAGGATCCACTGCAGTCAATGGGGTTTTAACCTGACCCTATGAATCATTGGTTGATTTTATGCCACTATTTAAGAGAACTAATCTTTAACCAATTTGCAGAAAGCTCTCAGGAACTATAGGCCTACAGGACAAATGCCCACATAGAAACCCATGTTCAACTTTGCAACCTTATAGTGTAGTAAGTAACCATCTGAAGAAAGGATGTGTATTACTGTATCATAACAGCGACACACAATACACTGTTACTGCTGCTTTATCTGCTTCATGACCATATAGCACTGTGCATATGATAGTCAACATACAGTTTGTTGTTGCTTTGCACAATAGTCATATATAAGGTGCAGTGTAAGCTATTTTATATTCTTTATTCAGACAATCTATTAGTGTAATCACAATAATAACATTTCAAAAATTCAATAGATGCAATACCATATGTCATATCTTTTTACTTTTTTTTTTTTACAGTAAGCTGTAATACCGGAATTGATGGTAAAGAAAAAAAACAAAAACACATGTTTTTTGTAAGTAAGTAAGTAATCTTTATTTATATACCGCCTTTCACAGACCAGAGTCACAAAGCGGTTTACAATTGTTATTATTTTTGGGCACTTGTCCTCTCACTCCACACAGAGATGGGAGTAGGGTCGCCGAACAGGAGGCGCATGTCAGACCTATTGTACATATTTTTAGTGGTAGGGGAAACCGGAGCACCCGGAGGAAACCTACGCAGACACGGGGAGAACATGCAAACTCCACCCAATTAATTAATTTAATTTATCTTGTATAAACAAGACCAATCAGACCCAAACATCCTGTCTTCATCTTATTAGGAAACATGTTATATTTTATATACCTATGAAAGAGCCCATGTGTATCGCTAGTTCACGCTGTGGGCTGAGAGCTGATTGGCTGAGTGAGGGTGGTCCTCTCTTTTTCATTTTTCCGTTTGAAAAATCAGATCTAAAGACATGGGCAAACTTATACATACAGAAGCACTATCTTGAGAGCGAGACTATAGGAATAAGTTAGATTGATTTTATTATTCGGGTTATTGTTTGTTGTTTGAAAGTTAAGTACCCCAGCTTTAACTTCGCATTTGCTTTATTACATTCATGTTGATGGCACTAACCAAGCAAATACATAAAGGCTTTTTGCAGCTTTCTGGACCCAGACGCAAGCCCGTGATAACATTAAAACTCCTCCCTTGCATTATTCCCTATTTCTTGCCCACATGGTTTCCAACATCGTAAATGTACAACGGTATTTTTGATCACTGTATTACTCCAAGGATGCTGTGATGATTGGCCTATTTTCCTTTCTGCTGAGAGGCGTGGGCAGAGGCGGTGCTCCACGTCCTCCACTCATCCCCTGAACTGTCTGCACCATTTGAACCAGAGCTGTCCAGACGCAGCGCAGCACCCGGCTCCAAGCACAATAAATGGACACAATCTACGCTGCACATGGACTACTTACCTCTGCGCATTTCTGCAAGGATACTCTCGTTTTTTTCCTCCCGTGCCACCGGATTATTTTGAGTAAGGATAACCCCGCGATTGTTCAAATCTTGTCGTTTTCCCTGTGATTTCAGTTTGTGCGAGAAAAAAAGCCTACACCTTTTTGGCTTGAGATCTCCAGTCGTCTATTATTGTCTATTCTAGTCTATTCTAGTAGTTTGTTTGCACATATAAAAAAAAAGACTCAGAACCTGCCTTTTTACGAAAATGTGATTATTTGCTCTGTGTGCGCAAGACAGCCACCCCCTCTCCAAAAAAATAGGAAATCACTTGGATTGTGTCTTAAGGAACGTGGTGGATTTACTTAAATTATTTTATTACAAAGACCTGGGCACTTTCTAGGGCTGCTTGCCAATATGACCATCGCGTTTATGGATTCAAAGAGGAGAGAAGACTGAAGACTCATCCTCATATCTGTTCAAATCAGAGCACATTTTCCAGATCAGCTGCACTGGAATAAAAATGGAAAGCGAGGTTCTCACCCCCTTGCTGGAGCAGTTCATGCTTTCACCCCTTGTCTGTTGGGTAAGTCCCATAATTAGCTTCTATGAAATTGATTTAACACTTCTAACTTGTGAATTACACCACTTATTATAGGGATTGCTGACTCCTAACCCTCATTTCACTGGTGCCATCTATTTTCAGGTGAAGACTGTGGGGCAGCTGACAGTGACAGATGGCACCAAATTGTCGGAATATATTGAATTAGTGGATGGGGTTTACCTGAACCAGATCATGCTGGAGATGTAAGTAACAGACACTTTGATACATTAAGACACGTGTGCTTAATCATAAAACATTATCCCAATAGCCCACCAACCGTCCAATGAATTAGGACATGGTATTTATGATGTTTTCCTTCTGTGGCAAATATATCTTGTTAGTGTATCCCAGTGATGTAAAACTGGTTGATAAGCAAATGGGAAGTACAATTTTACCGTTTATTTGTACAAGTCTGGAAACTGTTGGGAATCTCCTGTTTGAGTTCCTGCTCTTTGTCTTTGATTCAAGACGCAACCATTTAATTATATGTCTTATATTTAGTTGTGTGCATGTGTATGTTTCCAATCTGTTCTAACTGTCAACTGCAGCAGACTGGATAACACCCCGCCCCTTGAGCTGCACCACTCACTTTTCCTACTGTGCAGGGGATTAAACTAGACATGGTATTCATTAGGCAAACAAGACTGGATGTGTGGGGAACAAGGAGATGACTGGCTTGATAATATTCCTCATTGGTCCAGTGTAAAATGGTGCAGAAAGATTTTCTTTTGTCTGAATCCAGAATGCTCAGTTTCCCCCCCATAGATTTCCACTAATACTCCAAACTACACTGTCAGCATTTGTCACATGTGCTGTCTGTCATTCAAACAGTTGGAATAATGCTTTTATGGTTTCTTGGTTATTGGACACAACCTAATCTATATACAACAAGGAACAATACCAGATCAAACCTAAAGGAAAAAAGTTCTATGCTAAAAGTGGTTCTAGTATACAGACTATAGAGCTACTGCAGGGCTAACTATACCCAAAATACATTACGGGAACATGGAATACTACAAGATGGAAAGTGCCTAGATGAAAGTGGAAAATGTCCTTTGCAGCTGTCACATTTTAAGACTTAAACCAGCAGCAACTTCACCACTTTGACTGTGATGTTCTTGGCTTGGAATTTAGTTGGATTTTAGTCGTCAAATAAAAGGAAAGGCTCAGACAGGGATCTTCTGTTTGACTGTGAGTGGAGGGGTGTACAGTATGCAACAAGCAGCGTGGGGCCAAAATGCTGCTGCAGTGGTCGCCCCACAGGATGTTGGGGATTGTCATTCATTGTGTTGTGTGTGTGTGCGCGCTGTTTCATGGTGTGTTGTGTTTGATTTTGGAGTCATGCAGCTGTTGATGGCTGTCTTGCCCAGTCACCCTCCCACACAGAGGGCCTACAGTATTACAGGAGGCTGTGGTGGTGGTGAGAGTGGATGCTCTTTGTTCCAGCGCTCCAGCATTGGTGCACTTTATACTATTCATAGATTTATCTTGGTCTGGTGGAAACGTAGCCTACATTAATCATTTTTCATGTTTGTCCCTGCGTCTGGTTGGGTTTCTTCCTGTCAGATTAGTTTGCCCCATTCCATTGAATGGGTAAAATCCTGCAGCAATTACTGCTGTTCCTTGTATGGACAAGTTGTTCCTTGTATCGGCAAGTTATTTCTTGTATCGGCAAGTTATTTCTTGTATCGGCAAGTTATTTCTTGTATCGGCAAGTTATTTCTTGTATCGGCAAGTTGTTTCTTGTTGAAGGGTCAAATGACCGTGATGATCCATTTAACATTTATGGACATCATTGGTCAACTTTCTCCCTATGGACCTATGCGTTTGTTATTGTTGTGTTTCCTGTGTTAGAAATGTTTGAATGGGAATGCTTGAAATGCAATAATGATTGAAATAGGGAAAGTACCTTATACTTCATAAATAAACTTGCCATCCTTGTAAAAGTTTCTCCATTCAGACAATACACCTGCTATTTTGGACATATCTATAACTGGCAAGTTCTGTACTTTGGCCCAGACCATGAGGCATGATGTCAGACAGACTGGCACTGTTGAGAAACACGGGAGACCCCAGGATTATTTAACGGTTAACTGAAGTCCAGATGGTACTGTCCCCTATCTCTTCGGCCCTGGTACGGTGACACAACCTTGCCAATTAGATCTTTGCAGAGCTGTCACACCGAATTGCTGTCCATGTGGCAACCATGAGCCTAAATGTCCTATTGGATGTTCTGCTCCTCTTTCCATGGCCATGCTGAGTTGTTTCCATTTTGGTAAATCATTGTCTTTGGGATAAGGATGCTCATCATTGTGCTTTAACTCTTCTGTACTTTGGTCATTTGGGATTCCGACAATAAAGAAAATAATTTCCTATTTTCCTTATCCAGCATGGTTCTGACTAGTTTTTTCCCCCTTTGTTTTACTATTGATTATTTGTGCCATAGTACATTATTTTCTATCTCACCTTGAGTCTAAAGCACAGTATGATGACAGTGTAGCTGTTGTAGTGATTCATCCTTCTCTGTTTGAACACAAAAGCATAACACAGTGCTGTGCCAAGGCCACTGGATCAGCTGTGTAAGCACGCACTCACAGGATGCAGTCTCCAATGTGGTTGTCATCACGTCCTTGTATGACAAAATTGGCTTCTCAGCAGCTGAACAAAGTGCAGCCGTACTGTATGGAAATTTAAATGATGGATGAAGCTTTAATCAGGCACAAACGCCTGATAAAAAAAGGTTTTACTTTATGTTCGTAAAATTTAATTTGAAAAATAGACCGTTAGTCTTCCCTAACTTGTGCTTCTTTCAGCTTTATCTATAGTCCCACAGATTATTCCCATGTTTTGAGTCCTTCTGGACTTTGTTTGATTTTTGAAAGTTCTAGAGATAGTTTGCATTCCAGTCCCAGATGATGAGGCCATTGAGACTTGAGGGACAAGTAAGCAATTTTTTTTTTTATGCCCTGAACCACTGTATGCCTTGTCTTTGCACATATAGTATACAGTATAATGTTAACAGGAAGAGCAGCAGCACTGACCTTGAGTTTATGTTAACAGAATCTTGTTAAAACAATGCGCTCTCAACATTAAACCAAGGGCACACAACATCCATGCAGATCTACAAAGTTATGGAAAAAAGTGTATACCGTATGTCAATATTCCATCCAAATCATTTTCAAGTCCTGTCTTAGTTTGGTATTTAATGTAATAATTTTAGTAAAACCTACAATGATGATTTTGTTGAGTTATTTTGTGTTTCTGGTTGTCAAGTTAGATTGTATCCTTCCTTTGCGGTGATTACAATCTGCATCTACCACTTGATGAGTGATGGTTGGGAAAGCACTCCTCCACACGTTTCTAAAAAGGTTTTGACATTGCATGGTATAACTGATTATAAATAATTTGACAACGTTAATAAGTAAAAGTAAGCCAGGTTCATGGCTAAAGGATCAGGAAAGGACTTTAATATATTATAGCGGTTCAGTCACTTCCCGACAAGTGGCAATAATAGGTAGAACCTATGTCCCTATGGATACAGGGGCAGAGGAATGGGAAGAGGCCCTGAAGAAAGAGCCTGAGACAAAAGCACGAGAGTAACAAGGCTGTGGAAAAACCAGGACAAGGAAACTGGCCGATGGGAACCACATACCACTGGTTCCAATTTTACTGCTTTGTTTGTATACTCTACTTCTCAGGGGGGGCACAAAAGAAGGCCACTTCAATTATGACAAACATCTAACCAAATCACATGGGTCTGGTTGGATTAAATTGTCTTAAATTAGAATGGATATTTCTTTGTATATAAAAATTTAGGGATTTAAATTGTGTAATTTCTGTAACAAAGGATTGTGGCCATTGTTTGAAACCATACGGAATCACCATCCATACTTCCCACAGTCTCACAGTCCCTCCTTAACTGAGGCTGAGGTTTGTTTTGAGTTATTTTTATGTTTTTTGTGAAACTTTTGAAAGACAAGTTTGAGACAAAAAGAACCACAAAACGGCATTTTAGCTCAAGACAAAATTAACCTTTTTGAATCATTTTTTATAAGGGCCCCATTTACCGTGATCATGTACAAGAAAGGCTTTGTTTTGGAAATCTGTGACAAAGTACATTCACTGGAATATATTTTATACTGTAATCTAGTTACTGGTACTGTTTTATTTACGTGACAACTGTACACAACATTATTGAAAGAGTGCTATTGTTACTCCAGTGAGCAGGATGTTTTTTTTTATTATTCAGTAAAAGGTTTTGAATGGAAATCTGATTCCCATTAAACTATCACAGCATGTCCCAAAATATTATTAATAATCTTTTACCCTAGTTTTTCTAGGCTCACTCTGATAGGCTCAGTCTGGTTTATTGGCTGTATCCCTAACACGTGGCCTGAATTGCTCTTTGTGATCTTGCCCTGGCACAGAGCGCGTGTGTATGTGTGCGTGCGTGAATGCCCAAGCTGACTTTAATGTAGGCTGTCAGATATAGGCTACCACTACTCTCCAACCAACTCAGCCAATCATGGCTCGCAAACAAGGGGAGAAAACGCAATGGCCGCCAGGCTTCACCATAGTATGGTTACACAGAGCCTATTGACTGCACTGATGTGGTAGCTTATCGACTTTCTGTCTGGACAAGTTGCAGAGTAGACTGTCTGTTTTTTAATACTATTTGTCTGATTTAAGTCCTAATTCTACTGTATCAGCAGGAAGAGGCAGGGGGGCCATATCTGGGATCGCCTTATCGCAATCATTGGTGTTAAGCCCATGTATTTAGTCGCCTACTGAAATGTAAAAAGAGGTGGGAGGGAGGACAACCCATGCATGCTTATTGAGCCAATGGTCGTAATACGTTGATTTTATTTTTATGGCCGCCATATCATTATATTGCACACAGGGATAATTGTAGTACACATGGAGTGGGACATAAGTGCTATGTGACAGTCATTCTCTGTCACGCACCTTTGACACCACATTGCCCTCCTCGCTCTGATGAGATTACAACATCTACTGTGCTTTTTAATTAAGAGTTAAATAGACCCCCTTCTGTGGGGTTTGAGAGAGGGCTGTGTGCGGGGGGATGATGGTAGCATGTGACCATTCTTTCAGTCCTGCATTAAAAGCAGCAGCGTGTGGTCCTGGTTTGCCAGATAGTGATGGTGTAAAGTGGAAAGGCTAATTAACACATCCACACTGCAACCAGACACAATGCTTTCCCCTCCATCACATTTATCTACGTCACAGGAGGAGCGTATGGAATAGTAATTACCTCTATTCCTTTCTGCAAAAGTCCCAAGTCGCTATTATTTGAAGGGTATGCCCTTGAAAAAGCAGTGTCCTTCACCTCTGTCATCAGTCTCTCCTTCGGAAGTGAATGCATAGAATAAAAACATGTTATGTCATATGAAGACTGGATGAAATTGCAGCAGGACATTTCCAGACAGATGCAGACATGAACACGTATGCATGACTTCACATATGTGCTGCTACACGTGCACTAATGCAGTCATGCAACTCTCCTCCCCCCATCTTGGTGCAGGTTGACCCCCTTATATAGGTCACAGAATGTACATGCTTTGATGTTGTCAAGAGTATGCCTTAAAATGCTGGTATCGGGCTGCATTGTTTTGTTATTTTGATACTATTTTATTTTTATACTGTCTGCTTTACTGTCTGCACAATATCGGAAATACGAGCAAGATTGCGATTCTGAAATGGATTGGCATTTAGAACTACAGTGCTGCTATTATTTTCGCTCATCTCCGGCCATATTGTGTTTTGTTGTTTACAGCCGCTCTATCAAGAGAACCTGCCATATGCTGCAAGAGCTGCAACGATTATACATGAAGAAACTCAAACATTGTTGCGCATTTTTGCAATATCAATACTGCACTTGGCATAATGAAAATAGTAATGCCATAATAAACACTAATATTTTGTTGTGTGTATGGATATTATTTGTATATATATATATATAGATATATAGCGCAGAATTAATTAGGTTGTGATATGTTTTCCAATTGTTGAAGCAATGTTTTGTTGCTCTTTGTGTGTTAATCCTGTGTTTCAAACAAATCAGTATTTTAAGGACTAGAACTGATCCACTCTAAATGGATCCACTCAAAACCCAGTTGGTCTGAAGTTTGCAGCATTCTTTATGCTACTGTGTATATATCAAAGGCTACAAGTCATGCATACATCTGATGCTTGGGGTTAACTTTCCTTTTATAGAGAACCTGTAAAACTGCTGCTGTAACTGGGCTTTCCCTGCCACTGTCACAAGATAACTACAAAACCGACAAGATTTGAGATGTGATCATGACCTCAACATAGCCAAAATTGCATGCATTCCCCAAAGTAGGCACGCTGTTGAGTTGGCTTTTCAAATTGTGTTTAATATTCGAAGGAGGTTGGAAATGTATGAGAAAATATGCAAGTAATCTTAAGACATTCAAATGTGCTCTTTGTTTGTATGTTTGTGAAATGAGCGCACAAGTATGTCTGTGTGAGCGGCAGGTCCCTGAGAATCAATAAAACATGTTGACACCCGTGATAATACTCTTCATGCATTCTGTCTAAGCCCTCGAGGAAGGTGGAGATGAAACATATGATCATGCATCTTAGGAAAAGGATAAAAAAGTGACATTTCCAAGATAATTTCCTTTGGCATAGCTTCATCTGGTTAACGCAAGGATTCAGTTGGTGCTGGTAAAACTCATCATACTGCCCTTGTGTAAACTAGGGGCCCTTCTCACACAGATGTGAATAACTTGAGCAAATCTCTAGTAAACATGGGGTCAAACTGAGAAACTTGGATGAGCTTTTTTGAACCTCATTGTCTGGAAATGCCTTTTTACCATTTGATTTATATTTGCCTTTTCCGTTTGATTTATATAGTGCAGTGTATTATTTGTAATTAATACCACTAACCAAACTGTCCATATCTTTCAGAAATCCCAAGGCTGCAGTGCAGAGGACCAACAAGAAGGTGAACAATGACTCCACGCTTCGGATCCAGAATCTGACCATTCTTATCAGGCAGATCAAATCCTTCTATCAGGTAAGATACTGTTTACAGTTTACCCACTTCTTAAAGCTGGGGCACCTAACTTACAAAGCACAAAATGTAATGTCATTAAATCCATTTAACGAGTTCCAGGCTCAAAAACTGTTTGGCTCTATCACTAGTTTGCACAAGCAACAGTTTTCTCCAAAGTACAGATAAATGTAAAATACTATAATGTATTTTACATTGTAATACTGTACTTTGGGAAGAACTGTACTTTGGGATTGAGTCAGATTGAGACTGCACCTAATGATGAGGAGTTTTATTCTCTGCAAACCACTGACTGCATGTTGTATGTAACTCCTTGTGAATAGGACTTATCAATTGGTCGTCTGTGACTGCAGTTAAAAGTAATTACTAATTATATCAGTATCATAATTATTATTATACATTATTGTTATTGTATTCTGTGTACACGACACGATCAAAGTGCACATATGGATCTTATCTGATTGGCACAGTTATAAATTTGAGCTTGTCATTAAAACAGTCTGCAGAAGTTGGTTGAGAAAAGCGTCCTTGTTTTTTCTGGTATAAAACCATGTGCAACATAAACATGTCTTGTATATGGCCTTGAACAGATGATGGATGGTACAGATTTTGCATTTCTACTTTTCTCCTTGTTAGACTGTACAAACTCGAATCCTTCGCATGTTTGTAAGTAACGGCTGACGTGTGGCTGCATTTGTGATGTGGGCCGTGGTGACTCCAGATGCTGCTATGGGCTGAACAAAAACAAAGAGGTGACACTTCAGAACGGCAGTCCCACATGTGACCCAACATGATGTATTCAAATAGTCAGATGTATTCTATCTGTGTAAGCACCATCCAGGTCCATTTGAAGTGTGCTTTGTTTACAATCATAGTGTGACGGTAGCAGTCTTATCTCTGCCTCATCGTCACTGCTCTTATCTGAATGTGAGGAAGCTTTAAGTTCTCAAAAATGATGGTTAATCAATGTTGTTTTTTTATTAAAGACTTCTCGTTAGTTTTAATGCTCAATGAATATTTGGGCATTAGTAAATCAATGAGGAGGCCTAGAGATTCTCATGATTTGTATTATTCTGTGTAATCTCTGATAATGTCGGTAATTCTGTGATGGCCGGGAGTTTGTGCTGACAAAGACTGAGCTCTCCCACACTTCAACTTAGAACTCTGACCAATATCCTCAGGGCTTGTTGCACAGGTCAAGAGGAAGGCAGTCACTCATTAATGTATGCACAACTTGTTAGTTATAGTAGTCTTTACAACGTCTTGATGATCTGAGCTGAATATTACTCATTTAACAGCATGTCTGGCTTTCTTTGGATCAAAATCTGGAATAAATTGAATTCCGTAATCTGTAATTATCTGATAAGAAATAACATTAGGTCTATTTAGAAATTGTAGACAAACAAAAACCTCACTGTTTAGTTACAGCCTCCTGCTGCCTTGTTTTCCATGTTTCACAGCCTCAGTACTTTTTTTTACATTTCCTATGTACAGTGCCTTGCGAAGGTATTCGGCCCCCTGGAACCTTTCAACATTTCGCCACATTTCAGGCTTCAAACATAAAGATATAAAATTTAATTTTTTTGTCATGAATCAACAAGTGGGACACAATCGTGAAGTGGAACAAAATGTATTGGATAATTTAAACTTTTTTAACAAATAAAAAACTGAAAAGGGGGGCATGCAATGTTATTCGGCCCCTTTACTTTCAGTGCAGCAAACTCACTCCAGAAGTTCAGCGAGGATCTTTGAATGATCCAATGTTGTCCTAAATGACTGATGATGATAAATAGAATGCACCTGTGTGTAATCAAGTCTCCGTATAAATGCACCTGCTCTTTTATAGTCTCAGGGTTCTGTTTAAAGCGCAGAGAGAACCATGAAGACAAAGGAACACACCAGGCAGGTTCGAGATACTGTTGTGGAGAAGTTTAAAGCCGGATTTGGATACAAAAAGATTTCCCAAGCTTTAAACATCTCAAGGAGCACTGTGCAAGCAATTATATTGAAATGGAAGGAGTATCAGACAACTGCAAATCTACCAAGACCCGGCCGTCCCTCCAAACTTTCATCTCAAACAAGGAGAAGACTGATCAGAGATGCAGTCAAGAGGCCCATGATCACTCTGGATGAACTGCAGATAACTACAGCTGAGGTGGGAGAGTCTGTCCATAGGACAATCAGTCGTGCACTGCACAAATCTGGCCTTTATGGAAGAGTGGCAAGAAGAAAGTCATTTCTCAGAGATATCCATAAAGTCTCGTTTAAAGTTTACCACAAGCCACCTGGGAGACACACCAAACATGTGGAAGAAGGTGCTCTGGTCAGATGAAACCAAAATCAAACTTTTTGGCCACAATGCAAAACGATATGTTTGGCGTAAAAGCAACACAGCTCATCACCCTGAACACACCATCCCCACTGTCAAACATGGTGGTAGCATCATGGTTTGGGCCTGCTTTTCTTCAGCAGGGACAGGGAAGATGGCTAAAATTGATGGGAAGATGGATGGAGCCAAATACAGGACCATTCTGGAAGAAAACCTGTTGGAGTCTGCAAAAGACCTGAGACTGGGACGGAGATTTATCTTCCAACAGGACAATGATCCAAAACATAAAGCCAAATCTACAATGGAATGGTTCACAAATAGACGTATCCAGGTGTTAGAATGGCCAAGTCAAAGTCCAGACCTGAATCCAATCGAGAATCTGTGGAAAGAGCTGAAGACTGCTGTTCACAAACGCTCTCCATCCAACCTCACTGAGCTTGAGCTGTTTTGCAGGGAAGAATGGGAAAGAATTCCAGTCTCTCGATGTGCAAAACTGATAGAGACATACCCCAAGCGACTTGCAGCTGTAAGTGCAGCAAAAGGTGGCGCTACAAAGTATTAGCGCAAGGGGGCCGAATAATATTGAACGCCCCACTTTTCAGTTTTATATTTGTTAAAAAAGTTTAAATGATCCAATAAATGTTGTTCCACTTCATGATTGTGTCCCACTTGTTGTTGATTCTTGACAAAAAATATTTTTTTTATATCTTTATGTTTGAAGCCTGAAATGTTGAAAGGTTCAAGGGGGCCGAATACTTTCGCAAGGCACTGTATTTTCACTATTCATCACTCAATTTTTTACAGAATCCTATTGTTGTTGCGTTTAACCTTCCTAATCATCAGTGGCTCCTCTTCTTGGATACAATGAAACATTTGTGCAAGGTTAAATGGCTCCATAGGTTCAAACGCCTGAAGGGAAAATAATCTGCTGGTGAGCTGGTGTGAGCCCCAGGTTAAGCAGCGATCAGTGCCGTCTGAAGATGATGAGATGATGGACATGAAGCACTAGTGGTCTCAAAGATCTATTTTACCAGTCTGCAAGAGCTTTTTTATCCTTTGAACCCGGTCAAACGAACAGTCTCAGAAAGCGGTGCTGGTGTGATTGTGATGATAATTTAAACAATGCCACTTGTGTCCCTAGTTTGTGTTTTGTTAATCCTGTTTTGCCTATCCTTGTCCTTTTTATTGAAGACCACCTGCAGAATCCTTCCCACAGTCACTAGCTGTCTGTTCTTTGGTTGCCCCCTTTGAGAACTAGGCCATTGATCATCACAAGAAAACTTTTAAAACTAGACGCCATTAAGTCTCATTACAGCTGTAGTCTGAAGCCTTCATAGATGACTATTTAAATTCTGATTCAACAATATTAGCGGCAAAGACAATTATGGAAGGTATTAATCTACTTGATTTAAGTGCATCATTTAAAACCATATGAAAGTGCACTGAGCGACTGTAACGACACACAACTCCACACAGGGCTGTTTCCCATGGCACCACACTGACCTTAACTTTTGCCCTGAAACATTCTAAAAGTGTACTTTACTTATTTAAATATAAATCTGTCTATTTTTTTTTTACAGTAAAGTTACTAGGTTACATTATTTAAGTGATTACGCAATAAACAAATGGATCGCTGCAGCTCTAACTATAGCCTTTTAGTCCAGTTGGAGACTCTGTTGCTCATTATTATTATTAAACAAATATTTACCTTGGTACTGTAAAATTGGCATCTTTCTTTGCCTGCAATAGCCACATTGTACAGCTTTTATTAAATACTATTGATGTGGTGTTCTCTTTGTGGTCATTTTGTCACTTATTGGTTTCACATTTCCGAGGCCATCTGGAGGAGACAGACCCAGACCCTGACTAATGGGCTTAGCAGGTCTTTAGGTAACTGTTCCATTCAGCACTTTCTTCATTAACATGTTGTAGAAGCTTTACAAGCCCCACTGCTTTTCAATGGGTACATTCTCAACTTTAGGTGATTGGATTTGTGCCGTTGTTAAAAGGGGAGGGCGTCATCACTGCTAAGTATACACATGTATGATATAGACCTCAAGCTGCCAATAAACTTGTAGATGACGGGTCCACTTTGAAGCACATCTGCAAAACCAATTGGTTTTTTGTTTTTGCAAAATAGAAATACTGTTCTTTCATTGGAGATTCAGAAAGGTACAAAGCAAGAGCAGGTTTTCTGTTTAAATACTTTGTTGTAAAGATTGTGTAGGAGGATTTTTTTTGTCTAGACCAGCTTTGATTTCCCAGTATGTTCTATACATTAGTGAAGAGCTGAAACCACATGAGACGATGAAGTGAGTTTAATGTTTTAAGCTTTCTGCGTGAGAGAACAGAGAAGTTCAGTCAGTTCATAGGATATTACTTTTCTGGTTACTTAGTGCTCAACACGCCAAAGTCCAGTTAAAACTGTGCTTTTCTCTCTCAATGGTCAGGTCAAATATCATCCAGGACACGTCTTACTTTAAATGAGCGGCTTTGGTCTGGCATTCCTGAGCAAAGTAACAGAGAAAAAGGAAAGGAATATTGATTCTCCATAGACTTATATTAATCAAATGCACTCTAGTTCTTTATGACATTTTAAATGTGAAAACTCATACTGAACTATATAGAGTGGAAGATTATAGCCGAAGAAAGATTTATAGACACAAGCAAGAGA